GGAGAAAAACAGTGCTGTTTCCTCCCTTCAGGAAATCCACAGCATGTGGGTTAAAATGCACGTACCAGGGCACAGGGAGCCAGAGAAGAGCAGAAACAAAAGAAATTACATGATTTGCTCCCAAACGTAGTGTCTCTGATAAAAGTAAGTTGCAGCGGGGCGACGCGGAGCCGGGTTGCCAAGGGAACCAGGCGAGAGGCTAAAATCAGCGCAGAGGTCTGCAACACCCCACGGGCTTCCACCAAACCCAGCAGAGTCTTTGCAAATCCCCAGCTTTTGCAGGTTTTTCTGCCTGTGGCCCCGTTTCTCTCAAAGTCCTACTGGGAGACAAAGGTTAAGAACCTCCCTCCCGTTCTTCCTCTAAAAGGCAATCATTTTTCTGGCAATATTCGCTGCTTAATTTTGTAGCCCCGTCAGACTCCATAACCTCTAATAGGGACATTTGTAGTGTCTCTGATAAAAGTAAGTTGCAGCGGGGCGACGCGGAGCCGGGTTGCCAAGGGAACCAGGCGAGAGGCTAAAATCAGCGCAGAGGTCTGCAACACCCCACGGGCTTCCACCAAACCCAGCAGAGTCTTTGCAAATCCCCAGCTTTTGCAGGTTTTTCTGCCTGTGGCCCCGTTTCTCTCAAAGTCCTACTGGGAGACAAAGGTTAAGAACCTCCCTCCCGTTCTTCCTCTAAAAGGCAATCATTTTTCTGGCAATATTCGCTGCTTAATTTTGTAGCCCCGTCAGACTCCATAACCTCTAATAGGGACATTTGTTAATTGGGTGAGCGACCAGTTGCAACAGTTTAATTTCCATTTCTATCTGATGACAAATTCCTGCTCTGTCTTAGTTCCTCATAACGTAGGTGGAAAAAAAAAAAAAAAAAGAATAATTTAATTGGCATTTCTGACATACAACTTCACAGTTCATCCGAAGCCTGTTAAATTGCCTGGAAAGAATGATGCTTGTCACGGGGCCTCAACTCTAGAAAAAAAAATAATTCGGGGCATCGGTTCGATGGATTCTCACTATTTTGCCCACTAATGGTTAAGTAAGCAAAGTGTAGATGGAAAATGGGTAGTGGTGTTACCTGCAGGAAGGAGTGTGGCCAACCAGTAGGAATAACTAGCAGTTAATCTGGCGTGTTTCTGCAGCGCAGTGCTGATATTAAGAGCATACAGTTAGCTGATTTCATCAGGAAGCCTTTGACCTCCTGCCCTATCCCAGATGATTCAGGATGTCTCATGCCATGAGCAGATGGGAAAAAAAAACCAACAAAAACCCACGACAAAAACCCAAGCAGGAATGCCTGGCTCTATGAAAAGAATTCAGCAGGCTTTAGATCGATTTTTCTACTTGGGTAGTTAGAATATTTCGGTTTCTCTTTTAGAAGATTGCTAAGGCTGACAAGGATAAGCACGTGTTTTATGGCAGGGACAGGCTCAGCTCACAGGGCTGCTTGGAAGTCTGTTAAATTGCCTGGAAAGAACGATGCTTGTCGTGGGGCCTCAACTCTAAAAAAAATAATAATTTGGGGCATCGGTTTGATGGATTCTCACTATTTTGCCCACTAATGGTTAAGTAAGCAAAGTGCAGATGGAAAATGGGTAGTGGTGTTACCTGCAGGAAGGAGTGTGGCCAACCAGTACGAATAACTAGCAGTTAATCTGGCGTGTTTCTGCTGCGCAGTGCTGATATTAAGAGCATACAGTTAGCTGATTTCATCAGGAAGCCTTTGACCTCCTGCCCTATCCCAGATGATTCAGGATGTCTCATGCCATGAGCAGATGGGAAAAAAAAAAACCAAACACAAAAACCCACGACAAAAACCCAAGCAGGAATGCCTGGCTCTATGAAAAGAATTCAGCAGGCTTTAGATCGATTTTTCTACTTGGGTAGTTAGAATATTTCGGTTTCTCTTTTAGAAGATTGCTAAGGCTGACAAGGATAAGCACGTGTTTTATGGCAGGGACAGGCTCAGCTCACAGGGCTGCTTGGAAGTGACAGAATCACTGAATCACCTGGGTTGGAAGGGACCTTTAAGATCATCAAGTCCAACCATTAAAAAAAAACAAACCACAAACCAAACCAAACCCCACCACGACAACAAACCAACACTAAAGTCAGCCGAATTATCCAGAATATCCTAGCTGAGCACAACGATGCGTGGCTGACGTTCCCTCCCCTCGCAGGCCCTTCATCCCAGCCGAGCCACGAGCCCGTTTCCAAATTAATTAATCGCTTTTCCCCTTCAGGATGAGCCTGATGATCTTCACAGCCTTATCCCAGCTCCTTTCTGCATCAGCAGGGAGAGCCGGGCCTCTCCGGAGGGCTTGGGACAGCGGTCCAGGGATGCTAAAAGGGGAAGAGACTCCTTGGTGGAGGATGTGGGGGAGCCCCCGGTCTCCCTGAAGCCGTTTGATGACCCGTGAGTCAGCGGCAGGCGCCGGGGGGAAGCTGTAGGCAGCGGGTTGTGTCTGGGCAGACGCCTGACTCACGGCGCTGCCATCAGGTGTCATCGTTGGCGTCAGGCTGAAAACGCTGGGTTTTTGTCAAAGGGAGGCCTACGCCACAGCGGGGCTACGTCACAACACAGGGATCTCTCAGGAGCTGGGCAAACAAGATCCTTCTCTCTCACAGACCGGTACTTCCATTTATACTAGAAATTATGACTAGAGAATATGTTTTCTGGTAGGAAAATCTGAATGTTAAGTGATTATTGAAATTATATAGGCAAAGGCTTTCACTGTCTAGCAAACTAAGTACCAGAACACGAACTGGAAACGTAACCTTTGACAAGGTAATAAAATCTCAGGAGTCAGATAAGAAGAGAAAAAAGCCCCATTATGCCTACGTCTGGCAAACACGGGCCAAATATTTGCTTTTATACCGCATTTGCTCAGGGTCTCCACACCGAAGTCACCTTGCAGTTGAAGATTTCATGACAGCCCTCACCTTGAGCTACTGCTCTTCCTCTCCTGCTTGGAGATTGACTTCCAGGAAACGCCTGCCCTTGAGCACACCTCGGGCACTTAGAGAAAACCACAGGAGAAATGCCTTCCCAGTGTCCCCACAGCCATACCAGTAACACATACGGATTGATCAAGCCGCTGGAGCCTATTTTTAAACATAATACTACAAAATACTCCCCACACACACACTCACAGCCTTTTAAAATACTATTAAAAATAGTGTAACTACAAAATTTGCACCTGTAGAATGGCACAGGATTGGGGAGGAATGCTTCCTGCACTCTCCTGTGTCCCATAAAACTCCAGACTTGTCAACACTGGCCTTTGGTTAATTGTTGGTAACCTTTAGCACCTGGACACGCAATACACCGGGCAGAAACGCATTGAGCACGTCAGAAAATCCAGGTTGTGCAGAGAAACACAACACCCTGCCTCAGCAACACCCGCAACACCAAACCTGCGCTCCGCTCCCCCGGGAGTATCTCATGAATCACGGGTCTCTACCCTATTTTCTAGGACCTGACAGTCTAAGGCAATTTATCAAACACATGCTCACGACAGCTTTGGAGAGTCAAGCAGTTTATCCTGCAATGAGGAGACACCCCGCTCCTGTGAAGACAGAAATTTCTCAAAGCTGGTCTTTGCCCGAGGAATGAACTCTCCAGGAGCAACAGTCCATCCAAGACCTCATCACCTCACCACTTTTCATTCTCTGCAAAAGGTGGATTTTTTTTTTCTGCCCGTGACTTCTCAGACAAAGATTCAGAGCCATGTGCATAACAAATAAAAGGAATTCCAGATCATGAGGGGTTCCTCCAGAAGGGACTTTCAGCCACCCTTCTGAAGCAGGACAATGCATCTGTGTATGAGAGAAGTGAACCATGTTCCTCGGTGCGCTTCGGAGGGACACCTTAGGTCCTATGGAAGCCAGAAGGAGGTAGGTATAAAACCAGGTACCTGAGCAGAAATAGCTCATGAGAGAGTGAGGCTTATGAAGTCCCCCCCTAAAGGGGCTCCAGGAAAGCTGGGGAGGGGACTCTTGATGAGGGAGGGGAGCCATAGGAGGAGGGTGAAGGGTTCTAAACTGACAAAGCAGAGATTGAGATGAAATTTGGGGAAGAACTTCTTTGCTGTGAGGGTGGTGAGAGCCTGGCCCAGGTTGCCCAGAGAAGCTGTGGCTGCCCCATCCCTGGAGGGGTTCAAGGGCAGGTTGGAGGGGGCTTGGAGCAACCTGGTGTGGTGGGAGGTGTCCCTGCCCAGGGCAGGGAGTGGCACCGGGGGGGCTTTAAGGTCCCTTCCCACCCATGATGGGGCTTCCCGAGCTCCCACCGTTTCTTGGCCCAGCTGATGGACCTTGTACCGGTCCCCGGGGCTCCCAACCCCCGGCTGCTGGAGCTTCCCGAGCTCCCACCGTTTCCTGGCCCAGCCGGTGGAGCTCGTACCGGTCCCGGGGGCTCTCACCGTTTCCTGGCCCGGCTGATTGAGCTCGTACCGGCCCCGGGGCTCCCAACCCCCGGCTGATGGAGCTTCCCGAGCTCGTACCGGTCCCGGGGGCTCCCAACCACCGACTGATGGAGCTCGTACCGGCTCCCCAGCTCCCACCGCTTCCTGGCCCAGCTGATGGAGCTCGTACCGGTCCCCGGGGCTCCCAAACCCCGGGCGATGGAGCTTGTACCGGTCCCCAGAGCTCCCAAACCCCGGCTGATGGACCTTCCCGAGCTCCACCGTTTCCCGGCCCAGCTGACGAAGCTCGTACCGGTCCCTGGGGCTCCCAACCCCCGGTTGATGGAGCTCGTACCGGTTCCCGGGGCTCCCAACCCCCGGCTGATGGAGCTTCCCGAGCTCCCACCGTTTCCTGGACCAGCCGATGAAGCTCGTACCGGTCCCCAGGGCTCCTAACCCCCGGTTGATGAAGCTCCTACCGATCCCCGAACCCTACTCGGACACCGTATTTTGCTTTTTTTCCCCGCAAAACAGAAGGATGGAGGACTGACGGAGGAGGATGAGGGGTGGGATGGCGGGGAGGAAGATGCTCCTTACCCGTTCTCCGGGCATCCGTCCGCTCGCCGCCGCCGCAAAGACAAAGCTCCGGGGCGCCCGCCCACCGGAGAAGCGCCTTCCGCCGGCCCAGGTTACGGTGCGGGGCGAAGGGAGGAGCTTGCGCGGATCCCGGGCGAGCAGCGTGGCTGTAGCCCCATCTTCCGCCGTTAAAGCCCACCGGCAAGGCACCCCCCCGTGGGCGAGGAGGAAGGTGCTGGTGGCCACCACGGGGTCCTTGGTGAGGGTGGTGCATTTTTTCCTCCCCTGATGGGCTTTTAAGAAGATTCCAGTGGCTGAGCTGGTGGAAAGAGGCTCTGTGGGCTTCAAGTCCTGGTGGCCAACTGGGTGATCGTGAGCCAGCAATGGGACCTTGTGACCAAGAAGACAATGGCATCCTTGGGGGCATCAGGAAGAGCATGGAGAACCTGGAGGGAGGTCATCCTGCCCCTCTGCTCTGCCCTGGGGAGGCACCATCTGGAGCACTGGGACCAGTTCTGGGCTCCCCAGTTCAAGAAGGACAGGGAAGTGCTGGAGAGGGGACAGCAGAGGCTACAGAGATGATGAGGGAACCAGAACATCTCTCTTATGAGGAAAGGCTGAGGGACTTGGGGCTTTTTAGTCTGGAGAAGAGAAGACTGAGGGAGGATCTGATCAATGCCTATAAATACTGAAAGGGTGGGTGTCAGGAGGATGGGGCCAGTCTTTTTTCAGTGGTGCCCAGGGACAGGACAAGAGGAAATGGGCACAAACTTGAACATAGGAAGTTCCATTTAAACATGAGGAGGAACTTCTTTCCTGTGAGGGTGGCAGAGCCCTGGCAGAGGCTGCCCAGAGAGGTGGTGGAGTCTCCTTCTCTGGAGACATTCAAACCCCCCTGGACACGTTCCTGTGGGACCTGCTCTGGGTCCAGTTCTGGGCTCCCCAGTTCGAGAAGGACAGGGAATTGCTGGAGAGGGGACAGCAGAGAGCTACAGAGATGATGAGGGGACCAGAACATCTCTCCTACAAGAAGAGGCTGAGGGACTTGGGGCTTTTTCGTCTGGAGAAGAGAAGACTGAGGGGGAATCTAACCCTAACCCTAACTGCATTCCTGGTGCACGGCAGTAAGAAGATAACAGTTGCTTGCAGGAACCTTTAGGAAGTTGTCTGATGAGCGTTTGGAAATTGTTGCCTTCCATTAGAGAATTTGGCAACCCTTTGTAAAACTTGGGTCAGAGGTGACGTTAGGTTGAACACTAGGCTGATTTAGGTGTTCAGTGTGGAAGACACTGCCCGGTGTGTTCTTTTCCAAGAAACACTGATCACTGACCTGGATGCTTCTCCATCACCTTTTGCAGGGTGTGGCTGTGGCGGGTTCTTCTTGTACAGCGTGGGAAGGCCCTCTAGAGAAGTTTAAACCTGATGCTCTGGAGTATGCTTGATTGATTGATCTGCCAGGGAAGAGAAAATGAAACCTTAGTTGTAGCAAAACCAGGGCTATAAAAGTTACAATTTTCCACAACAAGTGATCCCTGAAGTGTTCCTTCAAAGACTTTTGCATTTTCAGTGCTCAACCCCACGTACCTTAACTTCCTCAGAGAGACTGCAGTCACTGAAATAACATAATACCATGGAAAGCAACATTAAAAAATTTGCAAACCAATTGATGGTGGTTTTTAAACTCCTCTTCCAAACCCTATTCCCATATTCAGCTGCTAAATATAACATCTTTGGGGTTTTTACTGGATGAATAACTTGCCTGAGTGAAGCTTCAAGGGTATTTTGCCATTAGTTCAATGATCTTCAGATACATTTTCTCAGTCGCATCAAGGCCCCAGATGAAATCAAGGTGCCCCCAAGAAGGAAAATGCTCGTGGTAAATGAGGTTAGAAATCCGAGGAAGCAGCTTTGCCATGTCTTTGGGGTCTGTTGTTGGGCAGGTCAGAAATCCAGTGAATACAATCTCCTAAAGTACCATGGTGTAGCAAGACTGCAGGCTTTTTCCCTGGAAAAGAAGAAGGGTTTCGTATGCTGTAGTAGTAAGGAATGTGTAGTTAGAACTGGGGTGCAGAGTCTGGTTTTTCAGGAGTTTTTGAACCTGTGCCCGTGAACCGGTTGTGGGGAACGGGATTTCGGGGAGGTCAGGATGGGTCTGTACCAACCACGAGCTCCTGGAGTTCAACCACAGCATGGGCTGTCACAGAAGTAACCCAGCAGCGACCATATGCTGCCCTGACATTTAATTTACATTTTGTTTAAAAAGAAATGAGTTGCCCTTATTCTTTCTCTGAGGAAGGCCCTTCTGGCAAACTCTTAGCTCATTTCTGGCTCAGATGAAGCTTTTGAAGTGTGGTTAAATTGTTTCACGAGGTAAGAGTCTGAGTAGGTGACAGTTTGCCCATGCATTGAGTCTTGGCACCTTTTGGAGAAAAAAAAGACTCATTCAACAAAAAAAGATTAAAATTTTCAGGATCCAAGTCCTCATTTATAAGCACAGTAAAGAACACTAGAGCTATATGTGGAGCAGAAGGGGACATGTGGCTACACAAATTTGCATGACACTCATACCTCATCGTGGTTGGGCTGCTTATCTCTACCCCAGCTGAAGCTCTGACCAAATTAGTCACCTCAGTGATTTTCAGGAGGGCCTGAGGTGTGATGCTGGGTTAAATGACAGTTTACACTATTTTGGGAAAGGTGTTTCCCGAAGCTATTGCTCTGCTTTGTGGAGGGAGGAGGGGGGTTTGGGTTTTGTTTTAAATACTTTTCCATCTCACCATGCATTTATACACTGGTGTTAGGAGAGGATTAGGTAAACTACTAAATTGTTATATGTAACAGCTGAGTGATTTGACTTGGGTTTTTTTCAACAAGCTGTAGCTTATAAATTCCAGCAGCCTGGCCAGCTGAGGTGGGAGGGTGTCTGTTCCTTAGGATTTGGATGTGAAGGAATGCTGGCAGGGAAAGCCTTCTCCCCTTTGAGGTGCTACTGCTCTGTGCCTTTAGGCCAAGAGAATATTCACTGCATGCTGAATGATCAATCTGCTGGGAGGATCCTCGTGGGGTTTGTCATGAGTAGGAGTAGTGTATATTTCTGTTACAAGCCAACCTAATTTTTTTCAGGTAAACAGCCATTGGAAGGGTCAGAACTGGTGTCAGCAAACTAATACTACAGCCAGTGTGGTTATACTGCTTTAATCAGAGAAGGATGGAGACCTTAAAACCAATTTTTTTTTTATGGTCCTCCATCTTACTGGAGAATAAATATAGAATTTATATGGAAATGAAAGTTCTCACACATAAGGTAGAGGGCTTGGATTTTAGACAGACAGTTACATGCGTATGCTTTAAAACTGGTTTAAAAATATACTTGAAATACAGGAAATGTGGATTTAAAACAAAAAGAGATTTTGGGGTGTTTGCAGACACTTGAAATACACATCCCTTACTCGGAAAGGCTGTCAGGGTGCAGTACAGAAATACCATCAGCATCGTGTCTTCAGGGCCACCAACACTTGAAGGGGATGGTGGCATCAACAACAACCCCCTCCCAAGGGAGTGCTGCTGCAACTAAGGTATGAAACTTGCAGTGACAAACCATATTCATTGTTTGGGCTGGGCGAGGAAGAGGAGGCTGAGCAAAAGGTGATGAAAGCAGCTGGGCTGTTTGATAAGGGGCTGTAACTAATTATGTTGGGAGCTCTCATTAAAGGGGTGGGATCTAGTTGCTTCCCTTTCCCAGAACACCTGAGGTGTTGCAGAGGGCTTGGGATATATTTCAGTCAGAGGTAGCTTGGCTGGCAAACTACCTACCATTTATAGTTTTACGTTTTAGGTTTCATGCTTCTTTTTTTTTTTTTTTCTTCTCCTTTCTTCACTTGTGCAACTTTCTTCCCCTCTCTCTCTCGTCCCCTCCTCAGCCTGTTTTGCGACTTTCCTTTTTAGGCAACCAGAGGCTGTTATTACAAAAAAATTACAAAGGAGAAGGTCTCTGTGTTGTAACTTGTTCTGTCGGTCTCCCGTACGCCACCCTGCTTGTGTTTACCTCCCTGGGTTGGGCCTCTGGAGAGGATTGTTCCATCCTGCCAGTAGGAATCACCCAAAGGAAACGCCGTGTAAGAAAAGAGCAATGCTTTTCAGTTGAATATTAACCAAACAAGTTCAAGAGCTTTTCCAGTGAGGTTAACTTCTTGGGCTGGTGAATGAGAAGGACTCCAGCAGTGAAGAATAGGCATGGGGATACTCTATTCAGAGGTATGTGGATGTTTTCTGTGCAGTAACTGAAGTTACTGAAAATTATAGATATTCACTGGGTTGGTTTGTTCCTTCGCAGCCTCCCCTGTGCGGGGTTGTACAGATCTGGTAGTTCTTCTTCCTTTGGAAATGCTGTACTTTGGCTATTACAAATTGACAGAAGTACTTACTCTTTGTAAGAATGAAGAAAATGCAGTAACCCGTGTAATTATTGTGACTTCACAGAGGAAGTATGTGTTCAATGTTTTCTGCTGTTCTGTGTTGAGATCAAAATGATTCTGAGCATGGGGCAAACAACAAAAAAACCTCTGCAAACAACTCCTTGGCTTATGTTGCATATAAATAATAAAGTTAATGCCTAAGGAAACATTATCCCCCCCCGTGATTGCTTTTGGAATGTAATTTTATTTTTATTTTTTTAAGCTCTTATCTTTATGGGTTTGTCCCCAGACCACGGTCCATTTAACATACCCCTGGATTTTAGTGTAAATGATACCTAAAGATATTCAGTATTTTATAAACTTTCCATTTGTACACTTGGGAAGAAATTTTGGTCCTTTTTGCGGGTGAATGCAGCGGGTTGCACTGCAGTTTCTTTTGCTGGAGCTAGCATTACACAGCCCTTCCTTTCAAAGGTTACATTTCTGTGCTGAAAGCCACCTTTTTTTTTTTTTTAAAAAAAGGCTATTCAATGAAATCAAGTATCTTCTCTTTCAGTGTTAGAGGGAGAGTGAATCTGTGCATTCATAAGGTGATGGGCTGAGTAGACTGCACCTTATTCCAAAATTATTTGTTGCCTCTCTCCAGATCTACTGCCCTGAGATAATATTGTGCAAGAAACCAGTGTTATTTAATGTAATTAAAATGGCTTTTAGAGAATGTTCAAATGCTGTCCATATCTTCCATGTTAATAGTTTATATTTTTCATACAGATTAGGTCTCTTCCTTTAAAATTTTTCAGTGAGATGTGGTTTTCTGGGTAAAGTATGGCTCATTTATACATGATGGAAATCTATAGAAATGTAAATAAGTGTAAATTTTACTTTCTGAGGAGTGGGGGTGGGGTCCTGGTGTGTTCCTCAGCATCCCAAACGTGAAGTAGACTCTGCTGCCTAGTTATAGCCTGCCTCTGGATGAATTTTAGTGGATTGGTTCAGAATACCTAGATGTTAGGAAATCATTCCTTTTTGTCTAAACAACTGCAAAGTGTTGCTGTAATTTAGGCAATACCCTGCTGTTCTCAGAGGAGGAAGCAATTATAAGCTGAAATTACTCTCCCAGTTGCAAAACTGGCTTTACCTCAGCCTCCTCCTCCTCTCTGCTGGCGGAATGCTTTGTCCTTAGTGCTGGGCCTTTCACCTTCATCCCACGTGGTAGAACTTGCTGAGTAGCTCAGGGTTATCACTGCCTCGGCAAAGAAACGTGGAGGGAGACACAAGCAGCTCTGAAAACAAGTAGGGAAATTCAGATGTGGCAGTTCATCTTGATCTGAGTGAACGACCGGGTCCTGATTTCAATCACATGGCCCACAGTTGATTTAAAAAAAAAAAATAAATAAAAAATCAGTTGTGTAGAGATATTGTCCTTCTCCCAGACAGTGAATGTGTGTTTTTTTTTTCACTTTTCTTCCACTCTATCTGGTGATTTTGTAATGAATGACCTCAGCTGTGAAAGCACTTGCCTGTCCTTTGACTGCTTCTCACCTTTCCTGAAGCCTCAGACACCAAACAACAAAATCCTCTTCTGAAGGACTTCTTCTATAAGAAGTATTTGTAGAACAAGAGATTCTAATCCAGCTATAAAGTTTTTGCTTTAAAATAGTATATTAGATTTTGATTTGACCACCTGACTTGGGTCAGCATCACTCAGTCATTGGTGTATCTGATCCTCAAACTCTGATTTCCTATCCCTGGTGCCTGCTTTCTTTGGTCGGGCAGAGCCATGTGGTCTGGATCCTGAAGAACCTGAGTTAATTGTGATTAACCCTGATTTTGTATGTAACATTAACTCTACAACTGGCTTCACTGGTGATATTTTAGGCAGGTGCTGTCTAACTGCCTGTATGTAAGAAACTCTATCAATTATCTTCTGAAAAAAGTTTGGAGAATTGTTTAAAATAGTCTTAAGAATGGTTAGTCCTTATTTAGATGGAGAAACTGGAGTGGCAACCCCCAACAAAGTGAAAGATGAGAGAAGGGTGTGTGGCAGAGGCTTTCACAGCCACAGAAGTCCTTGTACACTTCTCATGCTCCAGGCTCTTCTTCTCTGTTATTTATTCTTTAATTTGTCTTGAAAACTCCTACAGCCCTGACTCATCTCTTCCCAGCCAAGTTTAAGCAAATCAATCTTTCTTCAGGGCTCTTTGTATTCCTCAGTTGTGTGGAGGTTTTATACTCCTGCCATAGTCTTATCTCATTTTTGGACCCAGATGTCAAGAACTGTATCCACCATCTCCATTAAGTGCCTTCTGTAACATCCCCCTTCTCTTTCTGTGAGAAACACTGTCTAACAGCATTTGCCACTGGCTGCTGTTTCTGGTGCCTTTATTACACAGGTGACTGCCACCTATTTGTAATTTTTTTAATCTTTGTTCTTCCCTAATACATTTCCTCTGGAGTCATATTGATATTGATATCAAAATAATGAGCTTATAGTTGTTTGGATTTGTGTGCTTTTCCTGCTGCTATGTTTGCTCCATCATGAAGTCATGTTTGTCAATTTGGGAGGTATATTACATGTCTGAGATATGGGACTTTTCACCTTTCTTTGACTAGAAGAGGCATTTTCTAGAATGCAAACCAGCAAAAGAGTGGACGTTGGCCAGGTTGGATGGGGCTTGGAGCAACCTGGTCTGGTGGGAGGTGTCCCTGCCCAGAGCTGGGGGGTTGGAGCTTGATGATCTTGAAGGTCCATTCCAACTCTAACCATTCTATGAGAATTGCTTCCTGACATTCTCCATACCTGGGATGTTGGGTGAGAAAAGCTGGTTTCAGAGAGTAAAAGAGCACTCGTGACTCGTGTGCTTGTCTCCGTGCGTGACTTCACTCTCAAATCCCGTAGTCTCTTAGGGAGTGGTAAATGCCCTGTCATTAATCATGTCTCTAGAGCTGGGTTCAACAATAGTGTAAGGTTTAGAAAAAGATGTCATGGATCAGGGAGAGTATCGGTCAGAGACAAGTAAAACTCTTTAAGGCAGCATAGAAAGAAAAGCACAAAAGCCTCCAATCTGCAACATACCGTTTGGTGACAGGAGCTCTGAACTAGCAAGAGTCAGACTGGAAAGGAGTCAAGTTGTGTGGTAAGAGGCTGGGATGTGAGCAGGTATTCAACCAAACAACTCACCTGCATCTTTAAATAAGCAAAGCAATACTTAAAAGCAAGAATAGTAGGGAAATCAGACACACTCCACTTATCTTCTCTTTCCTGGACATGAAGATACCACACTGGACATCCACATGAGTGAGAGTGAGCTTCTAGAGCAAATTAATCATTTAGATGGCACTGGTGTGTGGGGCAGTTGCATAAAGGGGGGATTTAAAAAAGGGATTTCTCCTCAAAAATCATTAAAACAGTTCTGGTTCTGGAGGAGCGTGTAATAGCAAATAGCACATGTGAGGTTTTAAAAGAATATAGACAAATGATGCAGATTTACAATGTTGCAGGTACTCTCTTTAGATTTTTGTTTGATTGGAAAAAAAAAAAACCCAAAAGAAACCAAAGAGGAGTGTAAGGTCTAGTAAACATGTAAATACTTTCTCTAGAAAGGCAAATCACCTCTCTCGTGCTGCAGTCCAGAAGACTAAGCAGCGATGATGCTGGAGTTAAACTGGTGTTGCAGATCAAAGTTTGTCTGAAGTGAAAATGTAAATAAGATCAATCTTTCTAATGTGGAAAAAATAAAGAAAAGCCAGCTGCAGGGGGTGAGAAAAGGGCTCAGAGTTCAGCGCTAGATCTTGTTCATGTCATGTATTTAAGTTGTGATAAAAGGAGGATGGGAAGGAAAAACTGCAGATAACACTTAAAGAAAATGCTTATCTTGGAAAAGGGTGAATAAACCCCTCAATATCGAAGACAGAAGGAAAGAAACTTACTCTTTTTTTGACTGGGGATCTTCAAATGTTGCCAGGCTTCCTGCTGTTATTTTCTGCCTGTATTAGGCCATTAGAAACGTGTAGTACTCCTGTCACTCAGCTTCTCCTTCGTCCGAGCTCTTGCAGCTGGAGAGGGAAGGGTTTGCGGGTTGGGTCAAGGGTGCGTAGAAATATTTGAGCAAAGATTTGAACAGCCAGAGGTTCTCAAAACCTTTGTAGGATCTACCAATATCTGAAGGGAGCCTACAGGAGAGCTGGAGAGGGACTCTTTGTCAAGAAGTGCAGTGACAGGACATGGGGTAATGGTTTTAAATTGGAAGAGGGGAGATTTGAATTCAATATTAGGAAGAAATTCTTTCCTATGAGGGGGGTGAGACACTGGAAGAGGTTGCCCAGAGAAGCTGTGGCTGCCCCATCCCTGGAGGGGTTCAAGGCCAGGCTGGATGGGGCTTGGAGCAACCTGGTCTGGTGGGAGGTGTCCCTGCCCAGGGCAGGGGGTTGGAACTGGATGATGTTTAAGGTCCCTTCCAACTCTAACCATTCTATGATTCTAGCTGTGGGCATATGTGTATGTATTTTTTAGGCATGAAGTTCAACTTAAAACCCTAGGAATGAACCACTGTGAAGGTTTTAGGTTTTAGTGGGGTTTTAGTGGGTTTTTTTAGTTCATTTGTTTTGTTGGGTTTTCATTGTTGGTTGGTTTGGTGGTGGTGGCTGTTGTGGGGATTTTTTTGCTGCCTTTTTTTTTTTTTAAATTCTTAGCTCAGCTTTCACCTGAGGTATGGTTCTGTTCTGGCAAGGGATGAGTCAGAAGTGGTAGCTCTTGTTCAGCCACGCTCACCCGGAGGGAAATCCTGCTGTGAACTTGGAGAGGTGAGGGCTTGTCAGCACTCGCTGCTTGATCCAGTGACCCACTCCTGCGGGATCAGATGCAGGGTTTTTTGTTTTGTTTTGTTTTTTTTAATGGCTGGAAATGAACCGGGTTTATTTCTTGGATGATGGACACATTGTCCAAATGGAACAGAAAGTTCACTCCACTGTGTGAGGGTTGTGATTTCTCCGAGGGCTGAGAGCTGCTGCTCAGCAGCTGGAGAATCTCCTACCACCATCTCCTGGAAGTCACCTACCTCCAAGGGCTGAGAGCTCAGCAGCTGGAGAATTCTCCTACCACCATCTCCTGGAAGTCACCTACAACTGCAGCCTCTGCCGAGGAGCTCCTGGTAGTGTCTTAAGATAGGAAAATAGTAAGTCAAAATGAGAAGAAGGGACATCTTAGTGAAACGTGTGCTTACAAATATTTTCTTCTCTCTTCAGCCCATTTGTCAGGCAGCTTATAACAACGATTTCAACCAAGTCCAGCTCCTTTTGGAGCGCAACGGCAACTCTGTGAACGTCCAGGACAGCTTTGGTGGAGACACCCCTTTAATTTGTGCATGCAAACAGGGACACAACAGGATAGTCAGCTATCTCCTAAAAAGAAATGCTGATGTCCACCTCAGAAACAAGGTAAGTGGCCACTGACTCCTGCTTTGCAGTGCCTGTTCTTTCAGGTTCTTGCACCGTGTGTGGGTGAACAGTGGCAGTGCCACCAGACCCGAGGTTTGCTTCCAACTGAGGCATGACTATAGCCCCCAAATTATAATTTAATAAGCCTTTATGTTTCCATTTGTCTCCTTATTTATTTTCCTAACTTGCACAGAAGATAACCATTGCCATCCTGATTTTTTTCTGTGTTCTCCTTGCCAGTGGTTTCCTGCTTCCTCATCCATCTCTCTGCATTCACCTCACCCTCTAGCTCATCTCTGTCCCTTCTGTAGCTTTTCTTTTCCCTCAGTCTTTTTCTTCATCCTGGCTCAGAGGAAGGTCTGAAGGAGACCTTGCCCATCTCCTGCAAATGCATCCCTGAGGAGGGACTGATTCCACAAAAACCTTCTTTATTCCCTCTCCAGACCTGCTTTCATCACGTCGTCTGACATATAATAATGTGCCAGGGATGAGGAGGGAAACCTTCTGCTGTTCTTCACCCATTTTAAAAAACCTGCATTGCACAGCAGCTGTAACTGGCTATTTTCCCTGAGGTGATGAGGAGAAAGTGTGTTTATTTTTTTGTGGTAGATTTCCTTGTCGGTTACAAATAAATAGTAGCCAAAAGATGCATGTTCTGGCTTTGTTACTAATTTATTCTTGTGATGGTATGGGCGATAAATGGCCAGGAGACAAACCCACAAGGCTGTCAATTCTGTTGTATCATCTCCTATGCCAAGGCAACATCGGGCAAGTTCCCACACATTTGTGGGCTCTCCTATCTCTGCTTTCCAGTACGTTTGGTTATTTCATAGAAGGGCAGCAAATATTCGTGAGGGCAGTGGCATATTCTATCCTGTCTATTATTCTCGATGCAGAAGGCTTTCTATCTTACCCCAAAGTTCCTTTGAAAGGGCTCAGTATTTTGTGGTAAGACCATCCTAACTGCATTGGCAGCTTTTTCTTCAGCTGTGCGTGGCATTCTTAAATGCCTCTCTGCTTCCCCTTCTCAGATGGGATCAGGTCCTTGGGTACAGAGCTGGGCTGTGGTGCTCAGAACTGGCAATGGGCAGCAGAGGATGGCACAGAAAATCTTCTCTGCTAATTTTGAGCCCCAGCATAACCCTAATTTGCCAAAATCCAGCTTGACAACCTGCAGGAGGTTTAACATGGGTTTAAGGGCTCTATCCTTTAGCTGAATGCACTCAGTATTCAAAGATATTTATGTTTTTTAAGCTCTCTTCTCACCAGGAATCTGCTGGAGATGTTGCTAATTGCTTGTCTTACCTGTGCCACTGGAGATGCTGTAAACTCTCATGTCTTTGCTTCAGAAACCAGCACTTTTTATAAAAATTCTGTGATACAACTCTGTGATTCTGTGAAGAAGAGCTGGGGAGGGGAATTTTCCTGTTGATTTAACTTGCTGGGCAGTGGCAGTAGCCACATCAGGTGTCAGCTCTGCACTCTTTCCCTCTGCAGCAGTGTCCAAATCTGTGGAAACACACAGGGAATCCTTTGGATCTCACATGCTTCTTGCACGTGTAGCCCAATTTCTGTGATTCCGGATGTGTGAAATGTGCTTCTGCTTGAAGGACGTAAAATGCATGTCTGTTTCTGCTTAAAAAACAGAGAAATACTTCCAGTAGATAATCTAAAAGAAAGCTTGTGAAATACAGAGTGGTCTACTGTTATCAATATTAAACAAATATAATTGGATTGGTGAATCTGGTGCTAATCAGAGTTATTTTGTGTCTAGAAAGACCGCACGTGTCTGCATTACGCTGTGAGGAAACGGTTCACCTTCCTTGACTACGTGCTCATCATAATCCTCATGCCCGTTATGCTGCTCGGGTACCTCCTCATGGTGAGTCTGGATGAAAGCAGGAAAGCCCCTGTACCTTTCCCTTCCCCCTGGTTGCCTTTCTCAGGACAGTATTTCAGGGGAGGAACCCATAGAGAATATGGAGTGCTGTTTCTAAAGCAAGGTCTGATGGAGAGCAACAGAAGCAGCAGGGATTTGGCCCTGGATATAGCTTATGAGGGAACAGAGTGGTGTCACTGCATCAGTCTGGCATTTGTAGAAGCCAGAAACTCTTATTTTTTTGGGGGGGGAAAAAAACCCCCACAGTATTTAGCCCAAATCTACTTAATGCTGTATGCGGATGAATTGTCTTACTGTGTTACTCTCTCTCTTGCACCAAATAGGTCTCAAAGACTAAACAGAATGAAAACCTGATCAAGATGTTGCTTAGGGCTGGCGTGGATGTCAATGCTACAGACTCTGTAAGTGGGTTTATGCAGATGTGGTTTGTGTGCATGTAATAATGCTAAAAACAGACATCAGAACCTTCTAGCAACACTTCAGATTAGGATCAAGGACTGAACTGACTGGGATTCAGCAGGAGAATTCAGTGTTTCCCCTTGACAATTAGGCAATAGTTTTGCGATGTGCACAGAAATAATTCTCCACTGATCATCTAATTCTTCCTTTCTGACCAGTAACATCTTTAGAGAATCCAGGCAAGCTGGGTTGAGATACTTATGCATTAACTGCCTGATCCTATAAAGATTCTAGTGATATCAGGGTCTGACTTTATCACCATTTATGAGGTCTTGCACTGGAGCAGATTGGTGGGTAAGGATTGTGTCACAGTCCTAGACCCTGTGTCTTCTCCTGATCTTCAGAGTGCCCTGATCTGCCATGTGTAGTTCTGTAGCCACCAGCCTGCTTGGGTGTGGTAAGGAGCTCCTCTGCTCAAAGGCAGAAAAGGAGAATCCCCCAATTTTAGCAGCAACCAAATTCTACAACATTGAAGTGTGAGCATTGCTTAAGATGCAGCTGTTGAGATCAGGATCAAGGAATCCTCTGAAATTAGTAAAGTATTGGCTCCCTCCTGAAGGTATCAGACCTGGTTTAGCAGCTGCATCCAAGGGAAGGAATGACTTATTTTTTTTTCTTTATTCCTGTTGCTCTTATGATCGTGTATTTGTTTTGTTGTGGTGTATTGTGATGGGAAATTACATGTGTCTCTTGCATCCAGCTGCTAGAGAGGAACTGGTAAGGTCGCCACACTTGCCTGAGGTCTACAAAAGATGTAAAAGAACTAAAATTCATCTGCTTCTGTTTTCCCTCCAGTCTGGTAGCACAGCCCTTCACTACGCTTGCAAAATGAGAAACCAGGCAGTCATTCCTCTACTGCTTCAAGCTCACGCGGACATCTCGGTGAAGAATCAGGTAAGAAGGTGAAGTCGATAACTGCATTTCGTTCTCGTGATGGTGAACTTGTGCGTTGTAAGCCTCAGCTGGTGAGTAGAGGGTATAAAAAATGCTGTACAGCTTGAAGGCAGCAGACTCATTTGCTGTGTGGTGTGAAGCTATGTTTGCTCCACTGCCTTTGTTGGCAAGAGCAGCTTTAAGGTCCAGACCCTTCACTGCTGGGTTGCTTAACAGTAAACACTGACTCAGTGTCCACTGGATCACTTAGAATCATAGAATAGAACCATAGAATGGTTTGGGTTGGAAGGGACCTTAAAGTCCATCCGGTTCCAACCCCCCTGCCCTGGGCAGGGACACCTCCCACCAGACCAGGTTGTTCAAAGCGCCCTCCAGGGATGGGGCAGCCACAGCTTCTCTGGGCAACCTGGGCCAGGCTCTCACCACCCTCACAGCAAAGTATTTATTCCTGAGATCTCATCTAAATCTGCCTTCTTCCAGTTTAAAACCATCAGTTTAGCTGTCTTTGGGGTACCTCTTCTTAACTCAGAGCTGCTCCACAGTTATTCCCAAGATGCAGGCTGCAGGGAAGTGGTAAGAACCTTCCATGGTGCTTTTTGTGCCACTGGACACCATTCTTCTGAGAGGAGGAGCTAAGTCAAGCTGCTTCTGCCATCAGAAAAAGCCCAAATGTTGCCCAGATAAATATTGGCCTGGGAGCATCTGCATTACTGAGTTGAGGTGAGCAATGAGTTGCCCATGTTGCTCTTGGAATCAAACCTTAGCTTGGCTCTGCACTGACTTGGGACATCAGCCCCAGGAAGCAGTGGAATGGCTGTCACGACTGGAGGGAAGGACTCTTCTCCTGGCTTCAGTGAGGGTAGTATTGGACCCAGCACCTTCTGAAATCTGTTTTTAGAGTGAGGATGTGACAGTGAAACTTAACACACTACATCTGGTTGGCAAATTTGGGGAAAGCTCTTTGTACTTGACCCATACCTGTCATACTGCAATGCATTTCATCCGTCTCTTTCAGGATGGGGAGACCCCCTTAGACATAGCCAGAAGATTGCAGTTCCACAACATCGAAAGCATGCTGAGGAAAACCTCCTAGTCATCAAGGACTTCTGAACGCACAGAAAATTACCTCATCTGGCACCCCATCTTGTACAGTGGTGGGAGTCCTGCAGAGGGTTGGGTGCTGTTACTCGATAAAGACTTGGTCCAAACCCTTGGAACAATTTCTTTCTACAGACTTTGACTATTTCATGTGAGACTTCTCAGTGTCCCCAAGGCCACATGGGTTGAAAGGAGTTAACTTGCTTTTATGAAGCTGTGAATGGTTATGATGGTGTTCAAAACATCACCCTTCCCATCTGCTTCCACAGGGTTATTGCTTGACTTGGGCAGAGTGTGGATCTTGAAAGCTGGCTGTGATATTTCTGGAAGCCTAAATGTTGCAGGTGACAGCTGGCAGCCAATGCAAAAAATAAGATATCCTTTAGAGCATGTGTTACTCCTTCTGATGGGGGTATGCTTGACAACTCAACATTGTGCCACAGCGGTTTACACAAAGCCTTGTATTTCTCCTTCTGTGCTGGGAGTGACTGGGGAAAACAGATTTCCCAGCTCAGTGCTTCTTCCCACCCCTGCTACCAGCTTCACACACCTTGTAGCAACATAATGAGAATTAAGGAAATTATTATCTTCCATCTTTTATATCTATAAGGAACAGCTAAAAGAGACTTCAGCAAGTTACTGGAGACCACAAAGAAAGCCAATTCCCGTGTCACTTTAATGCATTAAGAAATAATAATGAAAACATGTTTGCTGCTGTAGAAAAACAAATCTCCTGACTACCTTTCCAATACAAACACTGTACTAAATAAAAAATAAATAAATCAATAAATAAAATGCTGTTGATGGGAACCAGCTGTATCCATCCCACGGGACTGGAGGGGATAAGCCTGCTTCTCAGAGTGGCACATGTAGCGGGGAATGCACATACTGAAATAATAATAAATTCATGAGTCTGCTCTTGCATAGGTGAAGGCAGAAGAAAACCTGCAGCAGTAAGCAACGCATTAAGGTGGCCTGGCGCTTTGTGATTTAATAATGCAGCAATAAAGGGGACTCTCCTTTCAAATGCTGCTGTGTCTTGCTTTCCTGGTCTAATGGATCTTTATTTTTGTTGATGGTTTGGGCCATTTCCCATAAGCTGTCATAAGTTCGGGTGATAGATGCTGTGATCTGCGTTGCTAATGGCTGCCAGACTAAGTGCATGGACAAGCCAGCATATTTTTCCTGGGTTGCAGAACATGCATATATATTTTTATATTTTTTTTCTCCAGTGTAACTATTCTACTGGATGCTGACTCCAACTACAAAGGATCTTGGTTGGGCAATATGAGTCCAGGGCCCCACCCAGAAACACCCCAGGAAATAAAAGTACCCTGTCTGAGCCTGTAATAGTGAACACTTTGGGTTTAACTTGGGGACTGGCACTCTGATCCACCAGATTGACTTGTAGGTGAGTAGAAGTGAGGCACTTGCATGGACAATGAAGGTGTTCCTTCTTTGGACTAATAGCCAGAAAGGGAAAACAGCTGACTGCTGTAGAAATTGCTTCAAATGAGAATGGTAAAGACACAGATTAATGTAAAAATCAAAGCTGGTAGCTCAGAGTGCTCACAATGACTTTGTTGCCAGTGTCAAGAGTAATTCCTGGGGTGGAAGCAGCATTGGTTGGAGTGCATCTTGCCCAATGGGTATTTATCTCCTCATTCCTCAGTTGCTACTTGGGCAGAGTGTGGATCTTGAAAGCTGGCTGTGATATTTCTGGAAGCCTAAATGTTGCAGGTGACAGCTGGCAGCCAATGCAAAAAATAAGATATCCTTTAGAGCATGTGTTACTCCTTCTGATGGGGGTATGCTTGACAACTCAACATTGTGCCACAGCGGTTTACACAAAGCCTTGTATTTCTCCTTCTGTGCTGGGAGTGACTGGGGAAAACAGATTTCCCAGCTCAGTGCTTCTTCCCACCCCTGCTACCAGCTTCACACACCTTGTAGCAACATAATGAGAATTAAGGAAATTATTATCTTCCATCTTTTATATCTATAAGGAACAGCTAAAAGAGACTTCAGCAAGTTACTGGAGACCACAAAGAAAGCCAATTCCCATGTCACTTTAAAGCATTAAGAAATAATAATGAAAACATGTTTGCTGCTGTAGAAAAACAAATCTCCTGACTACCTTTCCAATACAAACACTGTACCAAATAAAAAATAAATAAATCAATAAATAAAATGCTGTTGATGGGAACCAGCTGTATCCATCCCACGGGACTGGAGGGGATAAGCCTGCTTCTCAGAGTGGCACATGTAGCGGGGAATGCACATACTGAAATAATAATAAATTCATGAGTCTGCTCTTGCATAGGTGAAGGCAGAAGAAAACCTGCAGCAGTAAGCAACGCATTAAGGTGGCCTGGCGCTTTGTGATTTAATAATGCAGCAATAAAGGGGACTCTCCTTTCAAATGCTGCTGTGTCTTGCTTTCCTGGTCTAATGGATCTTTATTTTTGTTGATGGTTTGGGCCATTTCCCATAAGCTGTCATAAGTTCGGGTGATAGATGCTGTGATCTGCGTTGCTAATGGCTGCCAGACTAAGTGCATGGACAAGCCAGCATATTTTTCCTGGGTTGCAGAACATGCATATATATTTTTATATTTTTTTTCTCCAGTGTAACTATTCTACTGGATGCTGACTCCAACTACAAAGGATCTTGGTTGGGCAATATGAGTCCAGGGCCCCACCCAGAAACACCCCAGGAAATAAAAGTACCCTGTCTGAGCCTGTAATAGTGAACACTTTGGGTTTAACTTGGGGACTGGCACTCTGATCCACCAGATTGACTTGTAGGTGAGTAGAAGTGAGGCACTTGCATGGACAATGAAGGTGTTCCTTCTTTGGACTAATAGCCAGAAAGGGAAAACAGCTGACTGCTGTAGAAATTGCTTCAAATGAGAATGGTAAAGACACAGATTAATGTAAAAATCAAAGCTGGTAGCTCAGAGTGCTCACAATGACTTTGTTGCCAGTGTCAAGAGTAATTCCTGGGGTGGAAGCAGCATTGGTTGGAGTGCATCTTGCCCAATGGGTATTTATCTCCTCATTCCTCAGTTGCTGTCCGTGGTCTTTGAAGTTTGGGGGCTTAGAGTGTGCGAACAAACCTTTGGGTGATGTGTAGTTGTGGAGGACAGGAGATTACTTCTATGAGTTTTCCCAAATTTGGGTTGCTTGATGTTTGGAAGTCATCTATTGCCTGCCTAGTTTATTGTGTGTGAAGATCTCTTGGTTGTGTTGATGTTGTAGGTAAATGTCAGAAGGAAAAAAAAAAACAAACAGAGCCAAGTTCTCTGTCAAGTAGATAAAAGATTTAATTTAAACAAAGGGCAATTGTACTTCAACAGAGAAATGAGTAAATCTCACTTTTGGTTCTTCATGGGAAGACACAAATTGGGCATGGGAATATCTCTGTGGGATACGCAAGATATACATGAGAAGAACAGAGTTCAGGCTTAGGAAAATCAGTTTTGTAGAAATAAAAGCTGTCCAAATTAAGGGATCCCTGCAGTGTGTGCTCAAATACATTCACATTTTCAGCTTTCATTCCTATACACCTCAAACTTCTCAGGAAGGCAGCAGTCACAGTAACACCATGGAAAACCTCAAAACATGAGGAAAGCAAGAAACAAAAAAGTGCAGATAAATACCCAAATGGTATCCATTATGTGTGTCTGTGCGCTTACCTCTTCCCCAGACATCACCCTTATTGCCAAATACAAATTTTGGAGGTTTTAATTGGGTGAATCAATACTCCACGTGTGGTTTCAAAAGTATTTTGCCATTAGTTCAATGATCTTCAGATACATTTTCTCAGTCGCATCAAGGCCCCAGATGAAATCAAGGTGCCCCCAAGAAGGAAAATGCTCGTGGTAAATGAGGTTAGAAATCCGAGGAAGCAGCTTCGCCATGTCTTTGGGGTCTGCAAATTTGTCCTGCCCACCGCTCCAAACAGCAGTGGGTGTGCTTATCTTCTCGATGGGGTACACAGGAGGAGAGGACTGTAAGAAATTGGGGAGACCTGAGTGAATGCTCTTGGATCAGATGTTGTGTTTAGAGAAAGGATTCTGTGGGACCACCTCTCTCCCCCCTCTGCACTCACTGCAGCAGAACAGTGAGGATGAAGGCCACCCTCTGAGTGTCCATTCCCTCTTGGACATGAAAGGGAATGATCCATCCCATTCCTGTGTCTTTCCTTAGTGCGTGGCTGTGAGTTGTCCTGCAGTTTGACACCTACTCGTGCCCTTCAGATAGGGGAAGAGCAGTGTCCCCGTTTATCAGGCCAGGACTGTGGAGCTCACTCGTGTATATTTAGAGTGGGAAGATCTTTAAGTTTTGTTGGGGTGTGGAATGCAGCTGTTGGTCTTAGTCATTATGCTTGGGACTCAAGTGACAAGGAAGTACTTTAGCTGTTTATAATTTTATTCTAGAAGGTTTCTGAGACAGTGTGTGTGAGTAGCTGATTATATCTCTGGAGGCTCTGTCTGTGTGCCATGTGCCCTGGTACAGCACAGGACACTGCGAGTTGAATGTGCTGATTAAAAGTGAAATGACTGTCAGCTAATTGGGGGGATCACTGTAGCTGTGAGATTCATTTCCTCCCTTAACTGACGGGCAGACCTGGGGGATTTTTTGGGGAAGCAAAGAGCTCCATATTCATCCAGTTGCAGAACTTGGGTGGGACTCAGCCTTGTGGGAATGGGAGGTAAATGGACGTGTGGTTGGACACATCCCTGCATCAGGAGGGGGGGCAAAATGTGAGGAACCATATGCCTTGTCTGTGAACAGACTTTTACACTTGTGAGTGTTAGATTCAGGTGAAACATTATCACAGACCACCCTCTTTCTGTAGCACTCGCAGGTCCTAAAATCTGAATTTTTCTGTTCTTAGTTTTGCTGGGACCCAAGGGTGAGTTCTCGGGGAAACCGTGTTGCCTTACCTACCTCTCTCCCCCCTCTGCACTCACTGCAGCAGAACAGTGAGGATGAAGGCCACCCTCTGAGTGTCCATTCCCTCTTGGACATGAAAGGGAATGATCCATCCCATTCCTGTGTCTTTCCTTAGTGCGTGGCTGTGAGTTGTCCTGCAGTTTGACACCTACTCGTGCCCTTCAGATAGGGGAAGAGCAGTGTCCCCGTTTATCAGGCCAGGACTGTGGAGCTCACTCGTGTATATTTAGAGTGGGAAGATCTTTAAGTTTTGTTGGGGTGTGGAATGCAGCTGTTGGTCTTAGTCATTATGCTTGGGACTCAAGTGACAAGGAAGTACTTTAGCTGTTTATAATTTTATTCTAGAAGGTTTCTGAGACAGTGTGTGTGAGTAGCTGATTATATCTCTGGAGGCTCTGTCTGTGTGCCATGTGCCCTGGTACAGCACAGGACACTGCGAGTTGAATGTGCTGATTAAAAGTGAAATGACTGTCAGCTAATTGGGGGGATCACTGTAGCTGTGAGATTCATTTCCTCCCTTAACTGACGGGCAGACCTGGGGGATTTTTTGGGGAAGCAAAGAGCTCCATATTCATCCAGTTGCAGAACTTGGGTGGGACTCAGCCTTGTGGGAATGGGAGGTAAATGGACGTGTGCCTTAATTTGCACTGATTTCCCGTATGTGTTTTTACAAGTGGTTATAGATACAGAAGAATGGGCCCCCTTTCTTACAGATACTGCAGTAATAAACATTACACAGGTTGGCTTCTGCGTACTTTGGCCACTGTATAGGGAATTTAAGGCACATGACAGTGTCCATAAACATATGGACAACCCTCCTTTCTCTCCTGTCCTCTCTGATGGACACACTGGTCTCTGTGAATCCCACGGTGGGTGTCTTGCACTCCTCTGTAGCTCTACAGGTTGTGGACTGAGCTGTTGGGCCCAATTCTAGTGACAGCAAAAATGGGAAAACGCCCCTTATGGTATTTCTGTGGGACCCAAATAGTCTGAAGACTGGGAAGAGAAAAGGAGCTTTTTCCTCTCTTTTAATTATTCCAGTGTTCAGGGGACCCTGGTGTCTGCACGCTAAGGGAGGAAACTGAGAACTATGCTACCAAGAAGAAGTCTCCATCATCCATTGGCTCTTTTTAAAGAGCACCTGCGTATGACCAAAATCTAGTTGGCTTAGCCCCAAAAGAGGGCACATTTATTGGTATGTGTACTATAGCTCTAGGCTGAATTCAGTCCTTTCTTTCTGGGACTGGAATGTGCCTGGTTGTTGGTCCCATCCATCGTTAGCTCTAGTCCTGTTTTCCCACTGCACAATGTCCTGGGATTCCCTCAGTTTGCTGAGAACCACCTTGTGGTTTATGTCCATTTTCACCCATGACAGTTACTAGGTAAGGACGGAGTACACGGATGTGACTTCCAAAATCCCTCTGGTTTTACTTTGAGTGGGTGTTCTTGCAGGTACTCACGGTGTTCAGGTTTTTTATGTCGCCCCCAGCTATGTAGCAGAGTATGTGGCCACACAACTTATCCAGGCTTGCACATAACTGTGTCACGGGTCCTTTCAGAAATCCAATCTGGTGTGCCATTCCTTTGCAGCCAAATACGAACTGGGGGAAGGGAAAAGCAAAACACATCTTTTTTTTTTTCTTGTTACAGAAACATTTTATGCAGGAAACTTGCAAGTAACCTGGCCTCCTAACTCACTGTTCAAAGGTTGTTTGAACAACTTGCCCTCCCGTTTCCCCTCCAAAACAGCTTCCCCACAGTGCATCACGTGTCCTTCATCCTTCCTATTGCTGGCACCAGTCCTGGAGGAAGCTATCCTTCCATTTCTGGTGTAGTGACCTCAACGCTCACTCATTTCTGAAGTTCCTGAGATTGTCATGGCTGTTACTGTAGCCCTGGTCTAATTCCTCCTGCATGAGGCCAGCACAATATTAGTAATCAGCAAGAATCCTGTGATGAGACCTGTTGGGCCCAATTCTAGTGACAGCAAAAATGGGAAAACGCCCCTTATGGTATTTCTGTGGGACCCAAATAGTCTGAAGACTGGGAAGAGAAAAGGAGCTTTTTCCTCTCTTTTAATTATTCCAGTGTTCAGGGGACCCTGGTGTCTGCACGCTAAGGGAGGAAACTGAGAACTATGCTACCAAGAAGAAGTCTCCATCATCCATTGGCTCTTTTTAAAGAGCACCTGCGTATGACCAAAATCTAGTTGGCTTAGCCCCAAAAGAGGGCACATTTATTGGTATGTGTACTATAGCTCTAGGCTGAATTCAGTCCTTTCTTTCTGGGACTGGAATGTGCCTGGTTGTTGGTCCCATCCATCGTTAGCTCTAGTCCTGTTTTCCCACTGCACAATGTCCTGGGATTCCCTCAGTTTGCTGAGAACCACCTTGTGGTTTATGTCCATTTTCACCCATGACAGTTACTAGGTAAGGACGGAGTACACGGATGTGACTTCCAAAATCCCTCTGGTTTTACTTTGAGTGGGTGTTCTTGCAGGTACTCACGGTGTTCAGGTTTTTTATGTCGCCCCCAGCTATGTAGCAGAGTATGTGGCCACACAACTTATCCAGGCTTGCACATAACTGTGTCACGGGTCCTTTCAGAAATCCAATCTGGTGTGCCATTCCTTTGCAGCCAAATACGAACTGGGGGAAGGGAAAAGCAAAACACATCTTTTTTTTTTTCTTGTTACAGAAACATTTTATGCAGGAAACTTGCAAGTAACCTGGCCTCCTAACTCACTGTTCAAAGGTTGTTTGAACAACTTGCCCTCCCGTTTCCCCTCCAAAACAGCTTCCCCACAGTGCATCACGTGTCCTTCATCCTTCCTATTGCTGGCACCAGTCCTGGAGGAAGCTATCCTTCCATTTCTGGTGTAGTGACCTCAACGCTCACTCATTTCTGAAGTTCCTGAGATTGTCATGGCTGTTACTGTAGCCCTGGTCTAATTCCTCCTGCATGAGGCCAGCACAATATTAGTAATCAGCAAGAATCCTGTGATGAGACAGAGTTCCACAAGTCTCCCACTTCGCTGTGACCTCCTGCTTCAAGCCCTATGTCTCCAGTATTTTCCCCACAGAGTTTGGGAACAGATTTTTTTTCAAGAGCACTTAATTAATCCCAAGCTCGGTATCAGCACATCACATCAGCACATCACGGTGTGGGGACACTTCGTCTCCACCTGAGTGAACCCTGTGAAGGTAAGTCAGGCACTGAGCCTCTTAGAAGGAAAAATAACATACCCTGAGCATTGGATCAGGAAGACTTGTTATCTTAATGAGAATGCTCGTAGCATACGAACATGTGGTTGCTGGGCCCAGAGCAGAGAACATTTTCACCCTCTGAGCCAGCTCAGGGTAAGTAGAAAATGCTATGAAGCCTGCAAACACAAAAGAGACATCCTGGGTTAGTGAAGACACCTTCCACAGACTAAATAAATAAATATGCAGTAGGTAGCAAACAAGAAGTGAGAGGAGGTTTGCAGCCCATTGTCTGTCGCCCATGTTTTACCCAAGGCAAACATTGAAGCAAAGTCCTGAAATGAATTTTTATTCAGGAGGCAAAGTTCATTCTGAGGTTTAGAGCAGGTCTGGACATTGCCTTTATCTGAACAGTTTTTGTAGATGACAAGTCAATGAGGTTTTCGTGATTAAACCAATTCCCTCCAAAGTTCACCAAACTCATAAAAACTGAGTTTTCCAGATTATAGTCTCTATAGGTCTATGTTTGTTTATGCTTCCATGAAACTGTAGAATAATTAGCTGAACACTGGGAGCTTTGGGTGTTTTCAACTGATTGTTTGCATCAAAAGCAGCTGAAGAAAGCCTAGATGGTTAGTTTGTTTTGCTATGAGGGTCTTTAAAAACTCTTATGAGAGGAAAAGAAAGAAAAGATCTGGCGCTGAGACAATATATGATTTTCCCACATTTTCTCCTCCTTTTTTTCTGGGTAGTTTAATGAACTGGCAGTTGCTCATTTCTAATCAATGTCCATTCATGGGACTTACACATAAGCTATAAACATCAGAAACTTTCAGCTGATGATAAAAATAAGTTAGTTTCATTCAAAGGCCATGAAGTGCATTAATGCTAAAGGCTGGCACTAAGAAAACATAAGTTATTAAGGTGGGGTTTTTTTCATATTTTTCAGTCTCTGGCAATTTGTTAATGAACTATGCTTTAAACTGCAAGATTGCCATTAAGCCACATGACTTAATACCATTAAGGTTCTTTTCCCTTGGCTTCTGTTATTTGAAATTATGTATTATATGTGCTCTTTATCTTTATAGTTTTTCCTTCCAGTCCATAAGGAAAATAATTGTATGTCTTAATAGACAAGATCAACTCAATGAAAATTCCTGTTGCTGAGAATTTAAGAAAAGTGCCCAGTATCTGAAGTACCCAGTAAATAATCGCTTTTGCATCTCTAATTATTTTAAAAGTTGAACTGTATTTGGATCTGCTGTTAGATTTCTTTGCTTATTAATGCCAGCCAAAGCTGGTTTTAGAAAAGTTTTGTATATTTTGCAAATTTCAACTCAGGAGGCACTTCTACGTTTGCCAGCCCTCCACGAACCAGAAAAACAACTACTTTAACAGGGAGATCCACCTACTGAGGGTGGGAACAAGAAGGGTTGTGAACCCTGAGTGGCCCCAAATTACCTGCTGTCGAGCCTTCGGAGTGACCAACATAGTACACATCCTTCTGCCCAGTTTTATTCATGATGAAGTACAGCTCAGCTGGAATATCGTATTTGCCCATCTCATCAAAGCTACGGGGGAGAAACACAAAAAGGGAGCAGAGAATTTGTGGGCTATTGAACGTCAGATTTGTTCACCGTGCCAAGCAGGACTCACTAAAAGGAAAAGTTGGATGTTTTGTCTGCATCCTTGCTTGAGTTGGGGAACGGGGCAGGGGGCTGAGGCTGTGCTGCCTGATGCCTCGAGCTCTGCAGAGGAGATGCCAGTATCCCCTGTCAGCTGCAGCCCTCGGGCAGCTGAATGTAATCAGTGCTTTTCACTAGTGGGTTACAAAACACATAAGTTAGTTTCATTCAAAGGCCATGAAGTGCATTAATGCTAAAGGCTGGCACTAAGAAAACATAAGTTATTAAGGTGGGGTTTTTTTCATATTTTTCAGTCTCTGGCAATTTGTTAATGAACTATGCTTTAAACTGCAAGATTGCCATTAAGCCACATGACTTAATACCATTGAGGTTCTTTTCCCTTGGCTTCTGTTATTTGACATTATGTATTATATGTGCTCTTTATCTTTATAGTTTTTCCTTCCAGTCCATAAGGAAAATAATTGTATGTCTTAATAGACAAGATCAACTCAATGAAAATTCCTGCTGCTGAGAATTTAAGAAAAGTGTCCAGTATCTGAAGTACCCAGTAAATAATCGCTTTTGCATCTCTAATTATTTTAAAAGTTGAACTGTATTTGGATCTGCTGTTAGATTTCTTTGCTTATTAATGCCAGCCAAAGCTGGTTTTAGAAAAGTTTTGTATATTTTGCAAATTTCAACTCAGGAGGCACTTCTACGTTTGCCAGCCCTCCACGAACCAGAAAAACAACTGCTTCAACGGGGAGATCCACCTACTGAGGGTGGGAACAAGAAGGGTTGTGAACCCTGAGTGGCCCCAAATTACCTGCTGTCGAGCCTTCGGAGTGACCAACATAGTACACATCCTTCTGTCCAGTTTTATTCATGATGAAGTACAGCTCAGCTGGAATATCGTATTTGCCCATCTCATCAAAGCTACGGGGGAGAAACACAAAAAGGGAGCAGAGAATTTGTGGGCTATTGAACGTCAGATTTGTTCACCGTGCCAAGCAGGACTCACTAAAAGGAAAAGTTGGATGTTTTGTCTGCATCCTTGCTTGAGTTGGGGAACGGGGCAGGGGGCTGAGGCTGTGCTGCCTGATGCCTCGAGCTCTGCAGAGGAGATGCCAGTATCCCCTGTCAGCTGCAGCCCTCGGGCAGCTGAATGTAATCAGTGCTTTTCACTAGTGGGTTACAAAACACACTTAGCTCTTGGTTGAATTCAGCTGTGAGAGATCAGAGATTTCTAGATAAGGCTGCTCAGCCGAAGGTTCTTGTTTTCTGTCTCACAGTGTGATCTCCTTTTTCCTCAGCATCCCCGGTCATTTCCCAGTGTCTGAAATCCCAGCGGATACTCCCAACTGTGAGTAGCAGAGAGAATCCTTCTTTGTCTTGTTCTTTCCTCTCCTTGGTTGGTGTAGACCCTGTTCTGATGTTGGTTTAGATAAAACCCGTCTGGCTGAAGCTATCTACCCTGGGGTTTCTGTCTTGAGTAATTCTTCCTGGAAAGAGTACCTGAACTGCCAGAACTCTTTCTGGCTGGGACTAAATATCTTGTGTTTTAAAGACCAAGTGTTCCCTCGGCTGTTTCCCATCCAGACATCGTAGCCAGCATCTGCGAGGAGGAAGCCCAGGCTATTGTTGGGCAGGTTAGAAATCCAGTGGGTAGCATCTGCCAGCAAAGCATGCTGTAGGAACACTACAGGCTTTTGACCTGGAAAAGATGAAAGTATTGTTATATTGGAGCAGAGCAATGTGTATTTAGGATTGGGGTGCAGGCTTTTGTTTGTGAGAGGTTTTAAACCTTTCCTTCCTCAGGAAACTCCCAGGAGAACTATGCACAGATATTGGTCTGAGAAACCTGAAGGAACCATTTCATAACAGGACTGGCAAATTAAGAATTTAATGAGGAGGCCTGTCCCCACCTGCTCTTGCACTGGAAAGCCACCACACAGGTCCCTATACTGAAACCACATACCCACAGCTGAAAACTGCTGAATGCAGAATAGTGTATGGAAAACAAAGAATAATCAATCCAAAGAAAAATATCTACAATTAGGTATATTCAGTAACCAGCTGAGCAGGGCTGAGAGGCCCCTGATCTAACATTGTTTAACCCAGCTTTGAGAAAGGGCCTGGTCCAGATGATCTCCAAATAGGAGGAGACATCCAAAATATTCTGTTAAGTCTAACAAGGAGGAACAAACAAGGTGACAAATTACTGGTAGAATTTTCTGTTCTATTCAGAAAATGTGAAGAAACAAATGAAATGCATTTGCTTTTCATTGATGACCTGATTTCTTATCATAGACCAGGATGCTCAAAGCCCCAGGTTACTTAAAATCCTTATCACCTTCCTTAAGAATATCTGTTCTCCAGAAGGCTGGGAATTAATATTCATATGCCAAACCTGAGAGGTTTTTTTGTCAGACTTCTATTTTAAATATATCTTGCTTTGGGTGTTAAAGCAAAACCTCCCCAGATCCACTCTACCAAACCCTCCCCCAGTCACATGAAGGAAAAAAACCTGGGATATGGCAAAATTATTAGAAAAGTCTGAAATGAGGGCAGAGACACTGATTGTGTGGACTTGTGAGGGATTCAGACAGAATTCAGGCCACATTCCTGACTGGCTGCTCCTGCTGAGATGGAAAGGTGTGGAACTTGTCATTGCATGTGCAAAGGGGAAAGATGGAGGGGCCCATGTGAGAGCTGACTCCCAGACTTTCCTTATGCTCTATAACTGTGTCACACCTGTATTTCGGCTGTTCCTCCCAGCAGGAATTCTGAAAACAGCAAGAATGTATCCATCCTTTGTGGTAACTTCATATTCCTCGCTGGGGTATCCGTGGTATCTGATAATTTCACTCTGTGGGAAGCCAAAGGAGAGTCTGTTAACGTTCAAGCTGTGTGTTTTGGAGGGCAACCAAGCTGAGTGGTGTGGATGTGGGCTGTTCTGTGATGGTAGTGCAAGACCCCTGGCCGCAGGGACCATGGCTCAGAAAAAAACACCACAGTCTTGTAAAAAGATGCATTGAAAGTCTTCTTCAGACCTGTTTGGGTGGTAGTTGTCTGGTATTTGACCCCATATTAGGAGACAAATTAGAACTGTACTGAGCAATTAAGCTCTTGGGAGATAGCTTCTCATGTTTTGCAAGGCTGATACAGACTGAACTTTCTAGAGAGTAAACATGCAGCAGTATCTGCATAAGACAGTGCCAAAAAGATATGGGTTTGGGGCTATAATGAGTCCATAATGAGTCCTTTCTTGCCAAAGTGTGATTAGGCAAGCTATGCAGGCAAGGCAAACAAGGGTGGAGCTCTTGTCATGAAGGAACTCATGAGACCACCTACACCAAATTTTGCATGTACTGTGAGGAAATCCTTGGTGATTCAGAGCAAGGGGTCTTGGATTACTTTGTGTTGTGATAACCTGCTGTTTGAAGAAGGGGTTCATCCTCCCTTGCCACCTTACTGAGCAGACAGGTTGGTACAGAAGGGGAGGATTTTGCTTCCCTTGAGACTAGAAACCAGCCTTTGCCTCCACTGCAAAGGAGCTCTTTGGCAGCTCAGACTTTTTAGGTAGGAGCATCAAGGTTTCTTCTAGCCCCATGCACAGGAGGGATATCTTTGTCCTCCTGCTACGATCGCACCCTCCCTTTCTTTGTGTGGTAGCCCAAAATACCAAGGTGTATGTTGGGAAAAGTGACTGCAAGGAAGTGTCATGAGGATTGGCCAAGCCTCGTGTTCATCAGTTCATCACGTATCTGTTGGGTGTCACCCTAAATGCAGGCAGTAAAAGTATGTTCTTCAGTTTGGTATGGACTGGAGCATGTAGTCCATGCTTTGGCCACAGTCCAGGGCTGAGTCCTATTTCTGGGGCCAAAATTCTGTAGCCAGGATCTTCAGGGCCCCCCAGGAGGTTCTGGGGGGTCGCCTGGTCTTTGAGCCAAAAGTAGCAGCTGGCATCCTCCATTGCAGTGCTATGGAGAATTTAGACAATTTAGAAAGAGAGAGAGAGAAAACGACCCAACTTACGACATTCATAAAGCATTCGGGGTTGCGACTCTTCTTGTGCAGCCTGCTGTCTGAATTGGGAGTGGTGAATCCTGCTGAAAAGGTGATTCCGTGGGCACAGAGCAGCACAAGGAGGCACCACATCTTGCGGCTGTGAGAAAGAGGACACACAGGGTTTGCATTAGGAAGAGGGTGGTGTGGAATTGCACAGGAAGACCCAAATGGGGAGTCTCCTGAAAGTTGCCCAAGGTCTGTTCCCAAAGGGGCTGCTGGAATAAGTCCCTGTGTGAGCAGGGACCATCCACAGCTCAGGGAACAGGGAAGGTTACAGAAGGGGTGAGGAAAACACTTGGACACACCAGCCGAGAATAAGCCTGAGCTGTCTGCAGATGACAAGGGAGAGGTGGTTGGTCGCCAGGGCCAGCTCTTGGCATGAGTCTAGAAGAAGCCTGACAAAGAAACTTATTATTCCAGTGTTCAGGGAACCCTGGTGTCTGCACGCTAAGGGAGGAAACAGAACTATGCAACCAAGAAGAAGTCTCCATCATCCATTGGCTCTTTTTAAAGAGCACCTGCGTATGACCAAAATCTAGTTGGCTTAGCCCCAAAAGAGGGCACATTTATTGGTATGTGTACTATAGCTCTAGGCTGAATTCAGTCCTTTCTTTCTGGGACTGGAATGTGCCTGGTTGTTGGTCCCATCCATCGTTAGCTCTAGTCCTGTTTTCCCACTGCACAATGTCCTGGGATTCCCTCAGTTTGCTGAGAACCACCTTGTGGTTTATGTCCATTTTCACCCATGACAGTTACTAGGTAAGGACGGAGTACACGGATGTGACTTCCAAAATCCCTCTGGTTTTACTTTGAGTGGGTGTTCTTGCAGGTACTCACGGTGTTCAGGTTTTTTATGTCGCCCCCAGCTATGTAGCAGAGTATGTGGCCACACAACTTATCCAGGCTTGCACATAACTGTGTCACGGGTCCTTTCAGAAATCCAATCTGGTGTGCCATTCCTTTGCAGCCAAATACGAACTGGGGGAAGGGAAAAGCAAAACACATCTTTTTTTTTTTCTTGTTACAGAAACATTTTATGCAGGAAACTTGCAAGTAACCTGGCCTCCTAACTCACTGTTCAAAGGTTGTTTGAACAACTTGCCCTCCCGTTTCCCCTCCAAAACAGCTTCCCCACAGTGCATCACGTGTCCTTCATCCTTCCTATTGCTGGCACCAGTCCTGGAGGAAGCTATCCTTCCATTTCTGGTGTAGTGACCTCAACGCTCACTCATTTCTGAAGTTCCTGAGATTGTCATGGCTGTTACTGTAGCCCTGGTCTAATTCCTCCTGCATGAGGCCAGCACAATATTAGTAATCAGCAAGAATCCTGTGATGAGACAGAGTTCCACAAGTCTCCCACTTCGCTGTGACCTCCTGCTTCAAGCCCTATGTCTCCAGTATTTTCCCCACAGAGTTTGGGAACAGATTTTTTTTCAAGAGCACTTAATTAATCCCAAGCTCGGTATCAGCACATCACATCAGCACATCACGGTGTGGGGACACTTCGTCTCCACCTGAGTGAACCCTGTGAAGGTAAGTCAGGCACTGAGCCTCTTAGAAGGAAAAATAACATACCCTGAGCATTGGATCAGGAAGACTTGTTATCTTAATGAGAATGCTCGTAGCATATGAACATGTGGTTGCTGGGCCCAGAGCAGAGAACATTTTCACCCTCTGAGCCAGCTCAGGGTAAGTAGAAAATGCTATGAAGCCTGCAAACACAAAAGAGACATCCTGGGTTAGTGAAGACACCTTCCACAGACTAAATAAATAAATATGCAGTAGGTAGCAAACAAGAAGTGAGAGGAGGTTTGCAGCCCATTGTCTGTCGCCCATGTTTTACCCAAGGCAAACATTGAAGCAAAGTCCTGAAATGAATTTTTATTCAGGAGGCAAAGTTCATTCTGAGGTTTAGAGCAGGTCTGGACATTGCCTTTATCTGAACAGTTTTTGTAGATGACAAGTCAATGAGGTTTTCGTGATTAAACCAATTCCCTCCAAAGTTCACCAAACTCATAAAAACTGAGTTTTCCAGATTATAGTCTCTATAGGTCTATGTTTGTTTATGCTTCCATGAAACTGTAGAATAATTAGCTGAACACTGGGAGCTTTGGGTGTTTTCAACTGATTGTTTGCATCAAAAGCAGCTGAAGAAAGCCTAGATGGTTAGTTTGTTTTGCCATGAGGGTCTTTAAATACTCTTATGAGAGGAAAAGAAAGAAAAGATCTGGCGCTGAGACAATATATAATTTTCCCACATTTTCTCCTCCTTTTTTTCTGGGTAGTTTAATGAACTGGCAGTTGCTCATTTCTAATCAATGTCCATTCATGGGACTTACACATAAGCTATAAACATCAGAAACTTTCAGCTGATGATAAAAATAAGTTAGTTTCATTCAAAGGCCATGAAGTGCATTAATGCTAAAGGCTGGCACTAAGAAAACATAAGTTATTAAGGTGGGGTTTTTTTCATATTTTTCAGTCTCTGGCAATTTGTTAATGAACTATGCTTTAAACTGCAAGATTGCCATTAAGCCACATGACTTAATACCATTAAGGTTCTTTTCCCTTGGCTTCTGTTATTTGAAATTATGTATTATATGTGCTCTTTATCTTTATAGTTTTTCCTTCCAGTCCATAAGGAAAATAATTGTATGTCTTAATAGACAAGATCAACTCAATGAAAATTCCTGTTGCTGAGAATTTAAGAAAAGTGCCCAGTATCTGAAGTACCCAGTAAATAAGCACTTTTGCATCTCTAATTATTTTAAAAGTTGAACTGTATTTGGATCTGCTGTTAGATTTCTTTGCTTATTAATGCCAGCCAAAGCTGGTTTTAGAAAAGTTTTGTATATTTTGCAAATTTCAACTCAGGAGGCACTTCTACGTTTGCCAGCCCTCCACGAACCAGAAAAACAACTGCTTCAACGGGGAGATCCACCTACTGAGGGTGGGAACAAGAAGGGTTGTGAACCCTGAGTGGCCCCAAATTACCTGCTGTTGAGCCTTCGGAGTGACCAACATAGTACACATCCTTCTGTCCAGTTTTATTCATGATGAAGTACAGCTCAGCTGGAATATCGTATTTGCCCATCTCATCAAAGCTACGGGGGAGAAACACAAAAAGGGAGCAGAAAATTTGTGGGCTACTGAACGTCAGATTTGTTCACTGTGCCAAGCGGGACTCACTAAAAGGAAAGGTTGGATGCTTTGTCTGCATCCTTGCTTGAGTTGGGGAACGGGGCAGGGGGCTGAGGCTGTGCTGCCTGATGCCTCGAGCTCTGCAGAGGAGATGCCAGTATCCCCTGTCAGCTGCAGCCCTCAGGCAGCTGAATGTAATCAGTGCTTTTCACTAGTGGGTTACAAAACACACTTAGCTCTTGGTTGAATTCAGCTGTGAGAGATCAGAGATTTCTAGATAAGGCTGCTCAGCCGAAGGTTCTTGTTTTCTGTCTCACAGTGTGATCTCCTTTTTCCTCAGCATCCCCGGTCATTTCCCAGTGTCTGAAATCCCAGCGGATACTCCCAACTGTGAGTAGCAGAGAGCATCCTTCTTTGTCTTGTTCTTTCCTCTCCTTGGTTGGTGTAGACCCTGTTCTGATGTTGGTTTAGATAAAACCCGTCTGGCTGAAGCTATCTACCCTGGGGTTTCTGTCTTGAGTAATTCTTCCTGGAAAGAGTACCTGAACTGCCAGAACTCTTTCTGGCTGGGACTAAATATCTTGTGTTTTAAAGACCAAGTGTTCCCTCGGCTGTTTCCCATCCAGACGTCGTAGCCAGCATCTGCGAGGAGGAAGCCCAGGCTGTTGTTGGGCAGGTTAGAAATCCAGTGGGTAGCATCTGCCAGCAAAGCATGCTGTAGGAACACTACAGGCTTTTGACCTGGAAAAGATGAAAGTATTGTTATATTGGAGCAGAGCAATGTGTATTTAGGATTGGGGTGCAGGCTTTTGTTTGTGAGAGGTTTTAAACCTTTCCTTCCTCAGGAAACTCCCAGGAGAACTATGCACAGATATTGGTCTGAGAAACCTGAAGGAACCATTTCATAACAGGACTGGCAAATTAAGAATTTAATGAGGAGGCCTGTCCCCACCTGCTCTTGCACTGGAAAGCCACCATACAGGTCCCTATACTGAAACCACATACCCACAGCTGAAAACTGCTGAATGCAGAATAGTGTATGGAAAACAAAGAATAATCAATCCAAAGAAAAATATCTACAATTAGGTATATTCAGTAACCAGCTGAGCAGGGCTGAGAGGCCCCTGATCTAACATTGTTTAACCCAGCTTTGAGAAAGGGCCTGGTCCAGATGATCTCCAAATAGGAGGAGACATCCAAAATATTCTGTTAAGTCTAACAAGGAGGAACAAACAAGGTGACAAATTACTGGTAGAATTTTCTGTTCTATTCAGAAAATGTGAAGAAACAAATGAAATGCATTTGCTTTTCATTGATGACCTGATTTCTTATCATAGACCAGGATGCTCAAAGCCCCAGGTTACTTAAAATCCTTATCACCTTCCTTAAGAATATCTGTTCTCCAGAAGGCTGGGAATTAATATTCATATGCCAAACCTGAGAGGTTTTTTTGTCAGACTTCTATTTTAAATATATCTTGCTTTGGGTGTTAAAGCAAAACCTCCCCAGATCCACTCTACCAAACCCTCCCCCAGTCACATGAAGGAAAAAAACCTGGGATATGGCAAAATTATTAGAAAAGTCTGAAATGAGGGCAGAGACACTGATTGTGTGGACTTGTGAGGGATTCAGACAGAATTCAGGCCACATTCCTGACTGGCTGCTCCTGCTGAGATGGAAAGGTGTGGAACTTGTCATTGATTCAGACCACAGTCCTGACTGGTTGCTCCTGCTGAGATGGAAAGGTGTGGAACTTGTCATTGCACGTGCAAAGGGGAAAGATGGAGGGACCCAAGTGAGAGCTGACTCCCGGATTTTCCTTATGCTCTATAACTGTGTCACACCTGTATTTCGGCTGTTCCTCCCAGCAGGAATTCTGTAAACAGCAAGAATGTATCCATCCTTTGTGGTAACTTCATATTCCTCGCTGGGGTATCCGTGGTATCTGATAATTTCACTCTGTGGGAAGCCAAAGGAGAGTCTGTTAATGTTCAAGCTGTCTGTTTTGGAGGGCAACCAAGCTGAGTTTTGTGTGGATGTGGGCTGTTCTGTGATGGTAGTGCAAGACCCCTGGCCGCAGGGACCATGGCTCAGAAAAAAACACCACAGTCTTGTAAAAAGATGCATTGAAAGTCTTCTTCAGACCTGTTTGGGTGGTAGTTGTCTGGTATTTGACCCCATATTAGGAGACAAATTAGAACTGTACTGAGCAATTAAGCTCTTGGGAGATAGCTTCTCATGTTTTGCAAGGCTGATACAGACTGAACTTTCTAGAGAGTAAACATGCAGCAGTATCTGCATAAGACAGTGCCAAAAAGATATGGGTTTGGGGCTATAATGAGTCCATAATGAGTCCTTTCTTGCCAAAGTGTGATTAGGCAAGCTATGCAGGCAATGCAAACAAGGGTGGAGCTCTTGTCATGAAGGAACTCATGAGACCACCTACACCAAATTTTGCATGTACTGTGAGGAAATCCTTGGTGATTCAGAGCAAGGGGTCTTGGATTACTTTGTGTTGTGATAACCTGCTGTTTGAAGAAGGGGTTCATCCTCCCTTGCCACCTTACTGAGCAGACAGGTTGGTACAGAAGGGGAGGATTTTGCTTCCCTTGAGACTAGAAACCAGCCTTTGCCTCCACTGCAAAGGAGCTCTTTGGCAGCTCAGACTTTTTAGGTAGGAGCATCAAGGTTTCTTCTAGCCCCATGCACAGGAGGGATATCTTTGTCCTCCTGCTACGATCGCACCCTCCCTTTCTTTGTGTGGTAGCCCAAAATACCAAGGTGTATGTTGGGAAAAGTGACTGCAAGGAAGTGTCATGAGGATTGGCCAAGCCTTGTGTTCATCTGTTCATCAGTTCATCACGTATCTGTTGGGTGTCACCCTAAATGCAGGCAGTAAAAGTATGTTCTTCAGTTTGGTATGGACTGGAGCATGTAGTCCATGCTTTGGCCACAGTCCAGGGCTGAGTCCTATTTCTGGGGCCAAAATTCTGTAGGCTGGATCTCCAGGGCCCCTGAGGAGGTTCTGGGGGGTCGCCTGGTCTTTGAGCCAAAAGTAGCAGCTGGCATCCTCCATTGCAGTGCTATGGAGAATTTAGACAATTTAGAAAAAGAGAGAGAGAAAACGACCCAACTTACGACATTCATAAAGCATTCGGGGTTGCGACTCTTCTTGTGCAGCCTGCTGTCTGAATTGGGAGTGGTGAATCCTGCTGAAAAGGTGATTCCGTGGGCACAGAGCAGCACAAGGAGGCACCACATCTTGCGGCTGTGAGAAAGAGGACACACAGGGCTTGCATTAGGAAGAGGGTGGTGTGGAATTGCACAGGAAGACCCAAATGGGGAGTCTCCTGAAAGTTGCCCAAGGTCTGTTCCCAAAGGGGCTGCTGGAATAAGTCCCTGTGTGAGCAGGGACCATCCACAGCTCAGGGAACAGGGAAGGTTACAGAAGGGGTGAGGAAAACACTTGGACACACCAGCCGAGAATAAGCCTGAGCTGTCTGCAGATGACAAGGGAGAGGTGGTTGGTCGCCAGGGCCAGCTCTTGGCATGAGTCTAGAAGAAGCCTGACAAAGAAACTTGTCTGCCTTTATCTGCTTCCATTTCTCCGCTGGTAGGAGAGGTGAAAGGAGAAGAAAGCACTCTTTGTTGCTTCTCTCCTCAGGAATGAGGTGAGAGAGATTTGGGATGGGCTCTCTTTCCACCTTCCCCCTCCTCCTCTGGGATCAAATGGGTCAGTGGTGTGCTGGGGTGAGGGATCAATCAATGAGAGGCTCGTGAAGGGTTCTGCAGGGACCAGGAGAGACTCAGAGGCTCTGGGAGGAGATGTAACAGGCTTAGAGGAACATGTACCACATCAGTGCCAGCTTGTGCTTTCAACATGAGGTGATGTGCCCCAGACCTGGTTCAAGTTCTGTTTGAGATTAGCTCCTCTGAGAATATGAAGCAGACAAGGTGACCATGTGTGGCTTCCCAGAAGACCCATGAATCAGTTCCCAGCCAAATTTGGCTTTCAGACTGAAACTGAGTTGTGTAGGTCTCCGTTTACCAACCTTTTGGGCTTCTTCACTAGCCCCCTGCTGCCCACTTCTTCCAAGAACCTGCTCTGCTCTCACCAGTTGATTGGTTATTTTTTTTCTTACTGCTACTCCTGAGCCCAAAGTTTCTGTCTCTCAAGATTGATGACTGCCACCAACCAAGAAACCATGGAATTACTTGATTTTAGAGCAGTGAACAATGACCCAGAGAAAGACTCTTCCTATTCCCAAGGGCCCATCTCCTGTATCTCTTAGAAATGGCTGTCTATATTGCAAATCTTGTCAAGGTCATGGTGAGACTTTACCCTTTCCTGGGATGACTGATGCTACCAGATTAGCTTTTCTGAATAGAGGAGTGCAGTCTATCTAGAACCAGTTTATTCCAGCTCCACCTACAGCAGATATGCTTCCAGGTTTTAGTCTTTATTTTCAAGAACTCATTCAATGAGTGCAGGAACACTGCTCTCTGTGAGCTTCTTACATCTTTTTTTTTTTTTTTAAATGTGAAAATTTTTACTCTAAAAGGTGCCCTAGAAAAGGGAAGAAAGCTACTGGGTGTGGGACTACAAGTTAAAACCCTTTGGAGAAGAAGAGAAGTGCTGACCTATTCAGTGCTCCTTGCCTATGGGAGAGCTGTGAGAACATAGGAGAGGATTTTTCTTTCCTATCATCTGAAGAACTGTACAAAAAGGATTCATCCCTGAAGCTCAGGACTCTGCTTACACCTTCTGGAAAGCCCTTATTCACCTGATATTTGTTGTCTGCTGGGCTTGTAGGTGTGAGGGGAGCATAAGAACCGTGAAGAGAAAAGTAGCAGCCCTTCTGCATGAAGAAGCCCTTCTGACCATGAAGATGAGGCAGGCTACCAAAACATTCCACAATAGAATCCACAGAACAAAACGGACACATAATGCAATATAAAGCTTCAGCCCATCGAGGCATCTTGTCAGACTGCCTCACCAGTAATGACTGGGGACATCACTGCTCCTGTCAGCTTGGTTTCCTCAGAAGAAGAGGACATGCTTCTATGACCACCGCATGTTTATGTTAGTTCACCTTTCTGTCCATCCTGTAATTAACTTTTGTTGTCACTGGAGAATTTCATAGGGGACCTGCATGCATTATAGATGCGTTAGGAAGTTTAGCAGATGCAGGAAATAAGTCTTTCTGAGGCCAGGCATTCCTAGGTCCACTAGACATAGAAAATCCAATTTTTAATAAGGAACAGAGGTTCTCCTGCAGCCACATGTTTCTGGAGTCTGCTTCTACCATAAGACATCTGCAATGATGCTCTATGAAGTTTATCTGGACTTGTAAATTGTGCTACAGATCAGGAGAAAATTAGTATATTCCCAGGCAAGTAATGGGGAAGATGAGCAGGATTTGTGTGACAGAGGGAGGGGTAACTAAGAGATCTTTGCACTCTCTAAATCTGCTTTTAGGAGCAGGAATTTTTTCTTCTCATCTTCAATTTAACTTTTAAATTTGACTGAATGAATTTAAAGAAGTCAAACCTCGTGAGTCATCGGACAGTTGGATTGAAGCAGAGTTTGGAAACACCCAAAACTAGAAACTTGGCACCAAAACACACTCTGTTAGATTCTCTTTGTATATCAAATACTTAATTTTTTGTTGTCAAAATAGGAAGCCTCACAACCACATACTCAGTCAGCACAACACCCTTTTTTTTGCTTTCTGCTGTTTTACTTTATTCTAATGAGAGTAAAATATGTCGCCCTCTCCCTGCATGGGGAACCTCATTTGGGGAAAAAAAATTCTGACAATGCCTCAACTTGTTTTCAAATCACTTCCAAGACTAGTTGAGGCAACGTAAAGGCTAAATTATTCCTCTTGTTAGTACAAACTTTTCTTGATGCGCCCTGCAATCACCTGCCTTAGCTGGTATGGCTCACAGGCTTCCAGGTATTCACATTTTAAATCAAATACAGCGGGCTAAGACAGATTGGTTTGGTTGCCCACTGCTCTCTGAAGCTTCAGGGTTAGACACTTGACAGGAGCTGGTTTTATCTAGTGAGGTAAAGTTGTATGGAAACACTGGGCATGCTGAAACCCTGATGAAAGAACACGTTTAGAAGGGAAAAAAAATGTCCGAGAGAGAAATGCGCTTCAAAGTATTTTAGGCACCTTTAAGATTTGGTGAAACTGAGGTACAAGCCCTTCAGAAATTCATCCATCGATCCCTATTCTTTAAGCAGGACGAAATTTGTTTCATGTAAGCTATAAGGCACACACAGACACACATACAGTCACAGCCTGAGAAGCAACTCTCAATGCAGTGACTCAATGTAGGTGAGAATCTTCTGCCTTACTCATTAACAAAACACACACGTGCATAAAATTGCGAGAGCGAGTGGTCCGATCGGCACACGCTGTTGCAATCCCGGGACTTTCATTCCCTTGTTCTCAGACCAAAGAAAACAGGTAGAGGAAAATGAGGGAGTCGCTCTTTTTCTTCCTTTTTGTGCAGGTCAAACTCCTTTGCCTTCTAACTTGAGGAAATTGCGCGTTTCTAAGCACGGCAACAGGATTACAGATGGGGGAGGCAAAAAGCTCTCTGTCATCACAAGCAATCACACAAAACCGAGACCGAACGTCTTCATGGAGACGGGAAACAGAGAAAAAGACCCTGAGCACATAGAGATGAGCACCTTACCTCTGCTCTGACTGCCTCGCTGGTGTCTTCTGCTGCTGTTCCTGCTCTGTCTCCACCAGCAGACTGATTCACTGCCAGAAACCTGCGCCGATAAAAGGAAGTCAAAACACAATGAGCCCTTCAGGGTAGCAGCCGTGGAGTGTCATGAGTTGGCAGTGTGTATTGTAGAGCGTGTTTAAGTGCTGATTTGGCAGTGCTTTGGAGGTGGGGAAATCCTTGTGATGAAGAAGATCTCCTGGTCAAATTTGCAACCCCAACATGCCCCATGGAGCAGGAGAGTTTAAGAAGTACATACAAATCAGTGGTTAGGATGTTCAGCTGGGACCTGGGTGTTCCAGTTCCCCAAGGCTGTGGCAGACCTTGACCTGTCTTATTGCCCAACTGAGGGGCTGCTCCAAATGTGATCTATTAGGATGAAGATGGGGAAGCGTCCAGCGTCTCTCAAAGGAGTCTTTGAAGAACACTGTCTCTGCTATTGTTTTTCATTAGGTTTGTGTTAACTTTTATTTTAACATTACACACAGACTTCTAAGTCTGTTTTTCAGTGAGCAGCACAACTCATAAAACTCATCTCGCTCCACACTAGTTGGTCAGAGTTGACAATGCTTCTGTAGCGACTCTTTGGTGCCGAAGAAGGCTTGAATGCATCATAAAACCTTTCTCCCAGTGAAGGAACAAAAAAGGGTTCTTGTTTCTCCCAAGCCATATCCATCAAATCTGAAAATGTGGTATCTTTGGAGATCTTTCCCTAACTGCTGAATCAGATGTAGCCAGCCTGGAGGCTCAGTCCTCACTGAAACTGGCTTGATGGCCATGGGCAGAAGGGCACGTTCTGTGTCCTTAGGCAGCTGGGCTACAAAGAAAGTAGAATTCTCCTCTGTGGGGACCAGCCTTTTCAGCCAATTAACTCATAAGTGTCTTCAGAATAACTTGTGTTTCATCAGGGGCTGATGAGCCTTTAGAATAACACCAGATGAAAGGGATGTGCTCCTGGGAACACGGTTGCAAATAATAGGATGGCTTTGGGTGGAGGGGGAAGGAAAGGCATGAAGTAACAACAGGATGTCAGCGAAGCCACAGTAACAGTTCTGCTTTACATACAAAGTAGAGATCATTGTTTGGGATGGTGAAAAAGGTAATTTGGTAATTTCTTGGTGAAATGCGTTATAACTCAACTGCTCTGATGTCTCCAAGTGACAATAACTTTCATCAAACCATAAATTAATTGCTCAGAAAGGGTTCTATAACATAGATATCTAGTCCCTCCTCATGTCCCCAGGTAGGATCAACAGTCCCCATGATGTTTCTAATGCTGCTTGCTCAACCCGTTTTTATTGATTTTCTAGAAAATTCAACACCCTGCAACCTCTATGGTCTCCCAGGTTGCAAGACACCTGCACAGCTGCAGTATCTTCCTAGGTGAATTTAGGGGATGCTCTGGCTTCTTTCAGGTATATTGCTGTTGCATTTCCCATCATGACTATTAAAAACTCATAGAATAGGTCTCAAGTCCTCCAAGCAGTGATTTAGTTGAAGGACTGACTGTCTGGAGGGTATTCATCCCCAGGAATTTGCACTGGGTGTAAGGAAGGTCCTTGTCTGGAGGAGACTAATTTTGTTTGGACCAAGCTCTGTTTACATTTGTGGAGCACAGGGACACAGGATAGGCTTCAGCAACGGACTCAGGAGATGAAACAGGCCTGTTGTTTTTCTTGGAAGGGAAAGGAATGGAAGTGGCCAGTTTTATTTGGACCAAGCTCCGTTTACATTTGTGGAGCACAAGGACACAGGATAGGCTTCAGCAACGGGCTCAGGAGATGGAAAGGAACAGAAGTGGCACCAGCCATGGTTAAATTTTTTGGCTAAAAAACCATTTTGCACAGTGAGACACTGATGCTTTGGTCATAGTGTCACCAGCGAACTGTCCTAGTGTAGCAGCTGTCCCTGCCCTGGTTAGCATCCCAGACTTGGCCCGTGTTAACATTTGATTCAAAAGGAGAATGAGGGTGTCACGCTGAAAGGAAACCTCAAAATGCACTGAAATTAAATATGATGAGCATAGTGAGACGCTGATGCTTTGGTCATAGAGTGTCACCAGTGAACTGTCCTAGTGTAGCAGCTGTCCCTGCCTGCACAGTGAGACACTGATGCTTTGGTCATAGTGTCACCAGCGAACTGTCCTAGTGTAGCAGCTGTCCCTGCCCTGGTTAGCATCCCAGACTTGGCCCATGTTAACAAATGATTCAAAAGGAGAATGAGGGTGTCACGCTGAAAGGAAACCTCAAAATGCACTGAAATTAAATATGATGACAGTTTCTTCAGCACTGTTTGCAAAGCAGTCCTTTCCATTAATGAGCAAAGTGCTTCAAAAACCCATAGGATGGAGATAATGGATTATTTCTAGCAATGTTTGGATACTTATAATTTTAGTGTTTAAACCCCTAAGAGGCTTCTTGGAGCTATGATCAAGGCTAGAGCAGCTCGGGTCTGGGGCAGTCAGTAGCTTCCATGTGAAATAGCAGGAGATGCAAGGTTCCTGCTGGGTTCAGAGTGTAACTTTAAACCAAAGCGTCCCACTAAGTGTTGTCATTGCCAAGAGGAAATCAGCTCCTTTGTCCCCCCCTGGAAAGCTCATGTACACAGACCCTGAAAGTGTTGTCAGCAGAGACTGAGTCTGCCAAGATTTCTCTGTCTATCTCAGGGGGCACTTTGAACTCAAGCTTCCCATCTTCCAGGTGCACGTTTGGATGACCAGGCTGGCTACTGTTTTCTGAGGCATCTACCCTCCCCATATCCCTTGCTCTTCCTCATGAAACAAGTGAGCAGCTGTAGTTCAAATGAAGACAAACCACCTTTTTTTTTTTTTTTTTCAGGAGTGAGTTTTTTGTGTGAAGTCAGTTTTTACTTCCTTCATCGTCTCATCTAATAATAAAATTAATCGATACCATAACTGCTAGAGTTAGTCTTGGCTTACACTAAGCCTTTCAAGAACTGCCAGCCCAATAAACTGAGAAATAATAGGAAGAATGGAAAAGTTCTTTGGATCACTAACCATATCCAGAGAAAGTCAGTACTTTCATTGTTGTTAGGGCCTAAAGCAGAGAGTAGGCTGTAACCAAACCATGTCTCCTGTTAGAAAAGGATGGTTATTGCAGAATCCAGGCTGCATCAATTAAAAAATGATTGCTGACTTGCAAGGTTGCCAGAAAATATGAAGTGTGCCATCAGGACGCAGTGACACGTGGTGTGAAAATAGCAGTGGGAGGAACCCTTTCCTTGACTGCAACAGAAACCACCTAATGCAAAAGAAGGTTCTGTTTGTACCCCGTGAGAGCAAGTGGCATTGAATGAGTTGGGTATGGCCACTGGTTGTGGGTTAAGGATACTTCTGCATCAGGTCAATGATTTCATTGTACATGTGCAAAGGTGCATCCAGTCCCCAAATGAAATCCAGGTGTGCCCATTCCGGAATCCTCTTATGGTAGATGAGCCTCTTAATTTGAGACAGTAAAATGGCTGCATCCTTGGGATCTGCGAGCAAGTCTCGTCCCCCAGTCCACACCGCCGTTGGGACAGCCATCTCTTCCACAACATAGGGAGGAGGAGCAGCCTGGAAAACATGAAGGGATACAGGAAGGAATGAGCAGGAAAGCACAGCAAACATGCATTTGGGGCTTTCTTCCATTCTTGTTCAAAGTAGTTTGGTTCAAAACCAAACAGTTTGTGTTTCTTAAACTGACAGAAGTGCCCTTCCTTGTCTCTTCTCTGGCTGCAGGGGTGACCCAGCTGATAGCACAGCCAAAGGAGAAATGCCTCCTCCCTTGACAAAGAGTTACTGATGGGCCTTTGCCCTCTCAGCTGGGAGTTTGTGGGATGGGAGCCTGGAACAAGACAGAAGATGTCAGGATGCTTCTGGATAAACCCCCATCCTGGTCCTTATGGAGTACTGGTCAGCCCCAGAAGACATAGATTGTCCAGTTAGAAAACACAGTGTGTGACTAGGGCAAAATGATAATCAAGTAACTTCTGTGGGACAAAAGAGGAAGTAGTTTGGACTCCTGAGTTTGGAAAATAGAGGCCAGAGCAAGGACAGGAGACAGGCTTATACAATCATGAATAGCACGAAGAAAGAGCACAGGAAGTAATTATCTCATTACTTCTCGTAACACAAAACCTAGAAGGCATCCAGTGACTTTCCAAGGGCAAGCAAATTCAAGACAATCCAAAGGAAGTTGCATTTCATACAAGCCATCATTAAAACATGTAGCTTTTAATGATAGGTTGTTGTAAAGACCTAAAAGGTGGGAGGGTCAACCATGGAATTAGAGTTTTGGATGGAGGAGAGGTTCCTCAGGTACTGCTTAGGGACAAAGTCCTTTTGTCTCTGGCTGCTATTAGCTCTCCAGTTCCCCTCTTCCTAATGGTGTTTCCCTGACCCCTCATGCATTGGCAGTTGTGTCAGTCATGCTGGTAAGTAAGATGCCTCTTTGGTCTGACCTGCTGGATGTATTTTTTTTTTTTTTAAATCTATTTTCTGTCTTTCCTGCCCTTACTTCCTCTTATTCCTATTGATCATTTAATTGAAAAGGTTTGCACTCTCTCTTTTGCTATTACCATTAGTGCTTGCGTGTTCTCTCTGTTGACTTCCAAACTAGGAAGCAGCAATACGGATGGGGGTGGGTAAATCCGTCTACTTGTATTCTGAAAATGTGCCTCCTACTACAGCCTTGCTCCCTTCCTCTGTGATTCTGTGTTGTCCAAGGGTGATAATATTGTTTTGCCAAACTATACCTGTTGGTATTTTTCCATGTTCTTCTCTGAACTGCCCCAGTCATAAGCTTGGAACTTCCCTGAATGGGCCTCCTAAGAGGATGAACAAGAAAAGGGTAGTTACAAAGCTGTCATTCAGGAAGATTGTGGGTTCTCACCCTGCTGAGTCTTTGACTCCAAACTAAAGCCTTAGCTGAAGTTCTTCTAAGAGCTATGAGAGAGCCAACAGTAAATTAGTTAAAGTCTCAACCAGTGAAAAGGAACCAAATGTTTTTGTCGGAACCAAATAAAAACCCAACCCCTCGCTGCTCCTGCAGAAAGCCCCAGGGATGTTTTTGCAGGCAATTTGTTCTAGTTTGTAAAATTGCTGTCAACAACTGCCTCCAGCCAGTTCCCCTCACTGCTGCTGCCATGTCTTCTTCTGACAATTGTGTTGCCACCACTCAGCTTTGTGAGAGGCTCCTTCTTAGGTTGCCTCTTCCCTCTCCCCTCTCTGGTTTGAAGGCAGAAGTCATAATTTCTAGTTCTTCCCTTGTGCTCCTTGGCTTTGCCTACACCATGGGTTGTTATTGCTGTGACAGACACCGTCGAAAGGAAGGTGTCCATTAACTCAGCTCCTGTGAGCAAGCCCAGACTTTATGATTCCTTAAAAGCAGGAGCCTAAAACCAGAAAGGCAGCTCCCATCAGTGCTGCTGCTGAGGATCTACCGTGGTGGTATGTTCTGAGTACGGGATGTAGTGAGCCTGCTAAGTAAAGGATTTATTATTTATAGTTCTATTGCTGTTCCAGACACCGAGAGCTTTGAAAGCAAGAGATGAAAATGCAAGGGCTTTTACTAGTAAAATTTGGTATTTTACAACGCAGCCTATGTCTTTCTCATTTCTAGATCCCACATTGGAAACATAACTAATTTCCTAAAATAAGCTCTGTACAGGGCTGCAGACATCATCTATTTAAGGTAATGGATGCACAATAAGAAGAGTGATGTATACATCTGCATACACAGCTTCCAGCACACGTATTTTTACACAAATCCTCATTGTTGGCTTCAGAGTTACCTGTATCACATAGGGTATCTATTCTGCTGAAAAAAGAAAAATCACTGTTTTTTATTAAAACAGTGTTTGGAATTGATATTTGAGTTGTAAACCATGAGTTATAGGTGTTCCCCAGAAGTTATCAATAGCTTCCCAGCAGGATATCAGCCGTACCCCACCCTACGCCCTGCACAGCCAGAACTGAGAACCTATTTTGCCTTCCAGGAGTTTGCTGGTACCTGACTCCAGTGGACTATGTTCTGCACGGACGTTCCAGCAGGGGTTTGTGCGATGTACACGTCGATTCGGCTCTGAAAGAAAACATTCAGTGAGTATTCTCTTCCTCCCTTCTGTTCAGATGTACATTAAAAAAAATAATCTGCCGCAGCAGTGTCATGTATCCATAAAATCAAGAGAAATTGGAGTGGGGTGATTGGAGACCCCCTCAGAGTGACTCCAGATGTGGAGTTGTGTCAGGTCTGGAGCAGCACCACAAGAAGAGCCCCCAACCAGGACATTTTCCAGGATGACTGAGAATCTAGAAGAATCTAATGGGTGGAGAGGATAGAATAGTCTTTAGACCCCAAATTTGATGTTTTTTTCAGGAGCCTGTAACAGAACCTGTGTGAGAGAGGACGGCTGTAAGACAGAAGCACAAAAGGAACTGTAGCTGCCTGAGGAACATATGATTATTCTAAACAAAACACACCTTAGTCTTGTGGGACTTTCTTAGCAAGTGGCTGTGTGACCCTTCCTCAGACAACATGCTCTGAGGCGTATTTTGGAAAACACTGGAGCAAAAAAATTGATGCCCAAGTGGCCTGGTCTACAGCAGGACATAACACGAGGTACTCAAGTGTATCCTAACCTCCAGCATCTTCCAAGTCTCTCTCAGGTACCCTGAGGTGCCCTGAGCCTCTGAACCATGATGATCCAAGGCTTAGAGGAGGAGGACAAAGAGGAATATGTGTGTTCCCTTCTCCATTGTGAAGAGCTCCTGGAAACATGAATCAGGTAGGGCTTTTATTTTTTTTTCTGTGGTGTGTAATAATGAAGCTCTTCAATGAGACCACAGTATGAAGTAGGAGATGGTGACCTGGGGGAGGTGTGGCAGAAATCAGACTCTGGAGTTTTGTGGAGCTTTGAGGAGCTGTTGATTGTAGGGATGGTGCCAATTGTTCTTCTGAGGATTAAGGCAGTGGTCCCCTACCAGTAGATGGGGCAACTAGCAGGTACTGATATCTGGTGGTGTGGACTGTTCCCTGCAATGTGGTGCTGACTAAGAGACATTCAGAATTCATACCACAGGATAGAAGGTAAGTTTTGGGAGCAGAAGCTTAAACTCTCGGTGAAGCTGGTGAGAGTTATACTTACCATGTCAATGTTTTTCAGGTTACAGCCCCCCAGACCGAAGAAGATACTTCTACAAAGCCTGGCAAGGCCTTGGTGGCTGCAGAAAGGAACTATTAACTTTCTTAGACGTTCAGTCTGTGGAAGGAATTCTCTTTTGCCAAGCATAGCCTGTGAAGTACAAAGGTAACATCCATTTAAGAACGTATGCTTCTATATTGTGCTGTTGTTTTTAAGAGGTGTTTGTGTCCTGTTCCTCTTCTCCAGCACTTTCAGTGGTCCCCACTTGCTTCTTCTTCATTTGTGAGCTGATGTTCCCACAAATAAGAAAGCAATTAGGTGCTTTTCCATTGCATCAGCCTCCTCAGGCATTACTCAATTTGTGTTACATCACTTTTAATGAAGAGATACGTTAAATGTTAAACTCCAATTCGTATTTTAGCTCTAAGCTTGCGCGTTGCTTGTGGCTTTGTCTATAGGAATCCTGGAAACCTTTGAGGATCTGCATCTCTGTCCCTCTCTGGGTGACCCCTCCCAGTGCTGTTGCCCTCGATAAAAAGTTTCTCTTAATGCCCAGTCTGAACTTCCAAAGGCCTCAGTTATTATAACCTACCCACATGCAAATGAGGAGACTTCATAAAGCCCTAAGCTTTCTGTTTACCCGTTTTAAGAGCTGAACAAACAAGTTTATGGTTAAAGAGTTGAAACCAAGATACCACATACCCTGAGCAGTTTCTCAGGAAGGTAGAGGAGTTTTGTTACTGGGCTTGAGGCGTACTTAATAGTCGTGACAGGTGCCAAGGCAAAATAGAGTTTGATTTTTTGAGCCAGCTCTGGCATTGTTGAGAATGCAATGAAAGCTGAGGGAAAAAAAAAAAAAGAGGAGAAAACCCATCATTTTTCTATTAGACTTCTTTCAGTGTTTATAAATGCTATTCTGCAATAAAAAAAGAAAAAGAGGAGAAAACCCATCATTTTTCCATTAGACTGCTTTCAGTGTTTATAAATGCTATTCTGCAATTTCAGACCTACAAGCAACCCTGGTAGTTGTTCAGCCGCTATGGTTCAGTCCAGATTTGTGTGAAATCCCTCTTCGTCACGTGTTACCAGCTTGTAGTTTTATTTCCCTATTTTTTTTTCTATGTTTTGCCTTTTGCAGCTTTCTTCCAAACCCATTTAAATATACATAACTGCACACTTCTGATGTACATTCATGGATTTCATTTATTATTGGAATGAGTAGTTGTTTTTCTTCCGGTCAATCCAGTTTCATATTTCCCTTTTTTTTGTGTGTGGGTGTCCTGTCCAAACCAGCCAACTTCTCTTTCTGTACTCTCATCTTCCTATTTTGCTTATTTTGGTCCACTGACCATCTGCTCTGTTGGACACACCCGTGCATTTTAGGAACAAACAATTTGAATGGCCCGCAATAATTTTCGGCATAATTCTAAGTTGACAGACCTCCAGCAGCAGTGCATTATGGTTTATTGTCTCTATAATAAATTAAAAATGACTGCGTGCTGAAAACAGCTTATCCTCTGCTTATGACTCTTGCAAAGAGGTAATGAAAACCCCAGGTATATTCAGTATCCCAAATCACATTTTACTCTTGTTTTCCTGAAACATTGGTCTGTTGTGTGTCACTTACCCATGGTTGCACCTTGCGAATAGCCAATATAGTACAACTTTTCCTGTCCTGTTTTCTCCAGAATGAAATTTATTGCTGCTGGCAGATCAAACTTAGCCATCTCATCAAAACTGCAGGCAGGAGATTGAAAGAGGAGCATGCATAAATTAAAAGTCCATTTGAATGCACTTATTTTTTTAATAGAGGCTTGTCAGCAAAGAAACAACGTGAGCTGTTTAGCGAATTATTCTGCTATTTTAGGTTCTGTGTTTTTCTGGCACTGGATATGGAAGGTACTACTTAAGGTTTTCTGGGATATTTTCTCCTTTGACATCAACTGAAGGACTGTAACTTCAAGAAGTATCAGATTGAATTGTAATGGTGTTTACAGAAGGAAGAGGTGTTGTTACAGTAATGGAGCTCCTTCCGTGGAATCACACAGTTTGTACAATTTGGCATGAAAGAAAAGGTCTATTTTTAAATGTTTATTGAAATAAGTGCAAAAAAGGTTTATGTTTTCTCCTTCTGTGATTTTAGTGTTATTGTAATAGGTAGACTAGTATTTCTAAATAGCCTCCAAAATTGCCTCCAGAACTGAGATGTGGCTTTGACATGATCTGTGCTGGTTCCTCTGAGATGCTCTGCTGCTCTATTTCTGGTTTGAAGAACCTTTTCTAGTGCTAATTAGAGGAAAGTAGTCTCCACCATTATGAAAGCTCAAGTGTGTCCAGGGGCATCTCAGCAAAAGTGAATGTAAAGAGTGCTTTTTAAAAGGTAGCATATGTGAAGCCCTGATTTAGCCAGCTTAAATAAATATGTAAGGGTGGGCAATGGAGATGCCCTTTAATGGTTTGATCTACCTGAAAGCCCAGAATTCGTCTTGATCAATGGAGTAATTTTGATGTTTCCTGGACCAGCGATTCCCTCTGCTATTTCCCATCCAAACATCAAAACCAGCATATGAAGCCCAAGCTGTTGTTGGGTAGGTTTGTGACCCAGTTACTAGCATCTCCCAGTAGTCCATGTTGGAGAAACACAGCAGGTTTCAGAGCTGAAAAGCAAATCAGAAACAAAACAACAATTTATATTATTTTTTTATTTCCATTTTCTGGTAGTTCAGGGACATTATTCTCCTATATTCAATACTGGGATTCATTCTCCTGACTTAAAGGGAGACAACTATTCAGAAGAACAAAACATCCCTTTCTGGAAAGAGAGAACTTCTAAGCTTCTGCAAGGACTTATGGAAAGATCTACCTGACACCAGCAAAAATCTGGCTTGGCACCCTCTGGTCACTGTTTGTATCTCTCAACCACAAGAGCTTGAGATTCTCAACACTGATATAAAGAATGTAGGTGTGGGACTGTTGCAGAGGTTTCCTTTACCCAAAATATGAATCAGTCCCTGATACTAGGCAGGAGTAAGCAAAAGTAAAGCAAGATTAGAAGCTGGAACAGCTTTCTCAAAACAAGTGGATTGGGCAGATTACAACCTTTACCCTTTCTTTTTCTTTTTCTTTTTTTTTCTCTAACTTTTACTCATCAACTCTTATTATGAGGATACATGCTTCATATTGTAGTGGATTTTTATTATAAATAGGTGTGTTTGACATAAATCCTGTTGATCTTGCAGGCTATTCAGGGCAGCCAGAATTCTCTGCTAAAATAACACTTGCGGATACAAGCTTTGGACGTTTTAAAAACACCAAGTGTCTCTTGGCAGAACGTGCCCAATTGCACTTGTGGATACAAGCTTTGGTGGACGTTTTAAAAACACCAAGTGTCTCTTGGCAGAACGTGCCCAATCTAGGCTGGTTTTGTCTCATGTTAAAGAACTGTACCTGGGTTTCCCCGACTCTGTGGACCATAAGGGATTCTGTTAATGGTGAGGGTATAACCATCTTCTGTCATCACTTCGTACTCCTCGCTGGGGTACCCTTTGTAAGTAACCAGCTCATTCTAGAAGAGAAGGTGAAACACATTTGCTTGCAGAAGGCCATTTCAGATATATCATGTGAATAAGAAATTTGCAATGAAGAAATGTTTGAGAGCAGATACAAGCAGGGATTTAGTCTACATACAGTAAGCATCTGAATACAGCAATATCAGATTGGGTGTTGTAACCCTAAAACTACAACAGATTTCCTTCATTCTTTGTGTTATATCCAGGATTTGACTATTCAGTTAAGATCTGTTATAAAAAAAACCTCTTATATTATTGCCCTTGCATTCTGGTGATAAAAGTGCTCTTCTGGAAAGCTGACCATTTCTGATCTACGCTGCTCATTCAAAAAAGGAGAAAACATAACCCGCTGGTTATTTACAGCCTTTGCTGACGAAATGCTGGCATTCCAGATGTCAGTTTTTTAAGAGAGGGGCATAGTGCCAGCAAGAAAAAACCTGGCAACTGATATTTAAAAGGGAATTAACTCTGGAGATTTACTAAGGAAAAGTGTTTGCCTTAGTTTCTGTCAAACATAAGCTGTGCTGTTACACACGCAGGCAGAAGAGAATAGAAGGGAAAGCAGGAGTATAGAGATTAGAGAGGATGGGTTAAATGGTTTCTATCAAGCATAAGCTGTGCTGTTACACATGGAGACAGAAGAGAATAGAAGGGAAAGCAGGAGTATAGAGATTAGAGAGGATGGGTTAAATAAAGGCAGCTGGTCTACCTTGCTATTTCTAATACCTAGAAACCCCTTTGCATCCCTTCCATCCCCAGGCTGCTCCCCTGAGCAACTCACAATATTCATAAATGCTTCAGGATCCACAGCTCTCTTCAGTGATTAGAGAGGAAGGGTTAAATAAAAGCAGCTGGTCTACCTTGCTATTTCTAATGCTCTGAGCAACTCACAATATTCATAAATGCTTCAGGATCCACAGCTCTCTTCATTCTTCCGAGTTTTTCCGGATAAGTAAATCCCTGAAACAAAGACGACACAGCAACAAACAGCCATATCTTCTCTCTGGATAAAAGAATAAGTCATCTGTCAGTAGTTCTGCTCTGCACTCGTAATCCAGACAAGTTCTGTGCTTTTCTGATGAAAAGGCTTTTTCTGCCTAATACTGGAAGGAGCTAGTCTGGTACTGCCCAACTTGTTAATTAAATGGAACAAAGCTGACTTTAAATGCCTGTTGGAGGGAGTTTGGCAGCAGCCTGGATTCTGTGCTGAGGTCTGGACCAGGACACTGCTCTCAATCAGTGCAAAACTATCAGTGAGTCCAAGGAAAAGAGAAAAGCTTTTGGAGAAATGGAATTTGCTTGTTTTCCTGAGAAGCAAGTCGCTTGCATTACCGTGCCAGGCATTTCTTCTGCGGATTAATTAGGAAACATTTCTGGCTAACTTTGGGGAACACTGGAATTATTGAACAACCTGTAACTATATCAATCACTGTCACAGGGACGCTTTCTAAGGGGAGACAACCAAGATGTTGGGTAGTCAACTGAAAAAAACAAAGACAATTGAAAACAAACAAATGAAAATGTTTATAATTTAATTAAGAACTTAGGAACCCAAAGAAAGCACTTATTTATAGTTGCCCAGCATAATTTATGCAAAACAGCTCACATCAGAAACCCTGTTCTCCCAGTGACAGAGCTCGAAGCTGGACTGAAGCAGCCAACAAATCCATTGCGTTCATTATTATCAAGAAGACTTTGTAACTTCTTTTCCCAAATAATATGAATAGCCTATTTTTTCTTATCATAGAGTAATTTATATTCTGACTTTCTAACACTGTATCCTGATACGATCTGTACCTTGAAAATATTAGACTCCTTTCGTAGAAAAAGGAACAGACGTTTTAAAGACTTTGTTTTATTTGAAAATAATAGCTAGCCTCCTTTGGTTTTGATTTGAAAGTCACTGCAGTCTTATTCCCACACTTGCCATTCCCCTGTGCCTCTCCAGTTACCCCAGTCACCTAAATTCAGGTTAGGTGTCTGATACAATCTGTTCCTTGAAAATATTAGACTCCTTTTGTAGAAAAAGGAACAGACGTTTTAAAGACTTTATTTTATTTGAAAATAATAGCTAACCTCCTTTGTTTTTTATTTGAAAGCCACTGCAATCTTATTCCCACACTTGCCATTTCCCTGTGCCTCTCCAGTTACCCCAGTCACCTAAATTCAGGTTAGGTGAGTCATGGTACACCTCTTTAGCCAAAAGGAATCTTTTAAGAAATAGCTATTCTTTGAGTTATAAACAAAACAACACAACAGAATATATTTGCCCTCAAATCATAAAGCAGCTCCTCAAGCCTGGGTTTGATACCACCTCTTGCAGCTCCCACAAAGCCTTCACCAGCCTGGGGGCAGAAAATCAGAGAAATCAGAGAAATCAGAGCATTACCCACCTTGTGGGAGGAATCATGTGTTCTGGCTGAGGGACTCGGACGAGAGGAGAATGGAAACTCAGTTCCCGGGTGCTGGGAAGCCGTGCTGGGTAAAGACAGCTCTGAAATGATGGTCAGGCACTGCTTTTTCCCCAGTCCTCCAGCATCTTAATAAACATCTATTTCTTTCCCACTCCTCATTCCTTCTGCTGTCACTTCAGCTTTTCCCTGAGGGAGCACCAGGGAAAGGCGACTCCTTTTATTATCAAACCTCGTGCTTTTCATCTCCTTCACCACCACGGCTATAACAAGGCTCTTTTTACTATCACACGTAGATTATTTTTTTTAAGGAGAATACCAGCCTCTGTGGAGTGGTGCAGCAGGATCAGGAATTCTGAAAACAAATATGTTCACAGATATACCTTATCATACCTAATGAAACTGTCAATAAACCCCCGACAATTTTATTTTCTACTAACAACATGCCAATTCCAGCTTCTCGTGTTGTGTGGAAAGGATGGAAGGAAGGAACACTGGCTGTTTGATACTTCTATAGATGTTATTGCACCTATTTTTTTTCTTGTTCTTTTCGTGCTCGTGTTGCTGTTCCATAACTCTATGTTGCTGCAGGAGTGGTTTCAGGAGATTTTCCTTTATTCATGTTTCACCTCTAAAAAGGCCATGGAATAAAATGGATGTTCCTTAAATGTATATTTATGAACATATAATGTTATTTCATAATCTCTATGGGCTCAGAAAACATTACCATAGTAGCCACTTGTCCCAGAGGTCTCAATCATGCTGGGAGTGGGCCAGTATTGCCCAGCAGCAGAAATTAGGTGGGTTTGAGTAGATTGTTAGGTCTTCAGGACAGGGACTATTGTGAAGCTCTCCTTTTTGTGAAGTACAAGCATAACACAGCCATGTTCCCTAACTGGTCTCCTGGCTATTAATATAATACAAACTTTGGAGAAGTATTATTGTTGCTTTCTTTTTTTTATTTTTTTTCTTCACTTGCATATTCTGGTATAAAGCCAGTGGATTTTGCGTCCTGCCTGTTCCAGCTTGGTATTTTTAAACCTTGAAACTAACTTTTCTTTCTTCTTCAGTTCCCCACACTTGTTCCTCCAAATATTCACTCTGTCTTATGGATACTGCTCATCCACACAGAACAGATTCAATTCTACACTGAGATGAACATCTACCAAGGTTTTGAACCGGCTTTGATACTCCTATTTATATTATCGTTTGTGTACTTCCTCCTTGAAATGCTGGCTCTCGCTTGGAACAGATTTATTTAATATATCCTCAGAAGTTATTTTCTTTAATATTTACAGACCAGAAAGGAATGTGAAAGAAAGTGTCAGGAGAAGACCTGTTCCTGCAGGATTTGCCAGCAGGCTTTCAAAGGGAGATATAAAGGTCCAACTTCTGGTTCTGGCAGGGAAGTAGGAGAGGAAATGATTTCCAAAAGTCTGGTTTAGAAATATTACCAAACATTGAGTCGACACATGGATTCATATTTTGTAAAAAAATCTTCTGTTTCCTTTCAGATACTTCAGCACCTTGCACATTCCCTCTGAGAAAACAAGGTTTTCTCCTACTAAAGTCCTAGCGTCTTCCAAAGCTCAACATGAATTCTTTGGAGGAACTGTTTAAATATGTACTTGCCTTCGAGTACCTCGTGCTATTCTAGCTAATTAAGACGTGCTATTAACTCCCTCTGAACAAAGCCAGCTTCATTCTTTATGTAAAGCAATGTTTCATTGACAAAAAGAGCTCAATATTGAGTAAAAGGAGAACATATAAATGGCGTAATACCATAAAGAGCAAATTAGTGGATAATGTCATCGTTACAAGTTATTGGCAGCAGGTGGTTGAAGTGGGTGTTTGAGATGGGAAAAGAACTTGAACAAAGGTGAGTGTTTGGCTGATTTTTATTTTGAAGACAGACACACACGCTCTGCTGTAAGTTGACGGGTCCCAGAGGAAGTTACTCACGCTATAAAGAGGTGCAGGGTTCAGTGGAAATGCTTAAAGGCTGAAATGTCACTGTTGGAGGTGTGACTGCATCTTAACAAACATGGCCATATGCAAATGGACTTTAAACTGGTCAGTCCAGGTGCCCTTATATAAATAAGTGCCTTCATGCCTTTGTATAAATTGTTGACTATGTGCTTGGTTTATGAAACTTTGGCTCCTTCCACTGCTCTTTCTGGATAAAAAAATCTCAGTGATGCACAGGATTTAATCCCTAGCGTTTTGGTGTTTTCTGCAAACACTTTCCTCTCCCCATTCTCTCCCATTTCAGGAATCGGACCTGGCTTTGCAAGTGACTTTAGAATGGAAGATATTTGCAGGCAACTGAATATAGCAATTCTTCATGGATCAAATATGTCCTTTTGGCTTCTTCATCCAGCCAGTGTGCGTAGATATCAGAAACGTTTGGCTATTTTGAGTATGTTAAGGAGGGCCTTTAGAGGAAGGTATGCTTTATTGAGAGACAGACTTGTTTTTGTACAAGTTGCCAGCAAGGAGTCTCCAAGGGAACACGTGGCAGCAAAAAACAGAAGGAACCCCTCTGTGCACTCATAGGGCTTTAGAAATATTTCATGCCGTAACGGTGCAAGCAGTTGTTTCCTGAGAGCCAGCAAAACACTGAGAACCAAGAGCAGGGTCTAACAGTGCCTTCTCCATGGCATCCCTGGGACAATACCTGGTTTCTGGCAACCCCTGCCCTCAGCCCCCCCCACCCCATGCTGTTGCCTTGGCTGGAGCACTGTTGGCTCCCAGCGCAGACATGTCTGGGGGATGAAAGCAGAGCCCCCCGACCTCCCCTACACCTCCAAAGAGCGAAGGGAGTCACAGAATCACAGAATTGTAGGAGTTGGAAGGGACCTTCAGAGATCATCCGGTCCAACACCCTGGCAAAGATGGGTCACCCGGAGCAGGTTGGACAAGAAACCATCCAGCTGGGTTTTGGATGTCTCCAGAGAAGAAGACTCCCCTGGCAAAGATGGGTCACCGGGAGCAGGTTGGACAGGAAACCATTCAGATGGGTTTTGAATGTCTCCAGAGAAGAAGACTCCTCACCCTCTCTGGGCAGCCTCTTCCAGGGCTCTGCCACCCTCACAGAAAAGAAGTTTTTCCTCATGTTGAGACGGAATTTCCTGTGTTCCAGTTTGTGCCCATTGCCCCTTGTCCTGTCACCAGGAACCACTGAGAAGAGCCTAACTCCATCCTCTTGGCATCTGACGTTTTGATATTGATCAGCATTGATGAGACCCCCTCTCAGTCTTCTTCTCCAGGCTAAACAGACCCAGATCTCTCAACCTTTCCCCATCAGAGAGGTGCTCCATCCCTTTGATAATCTCTGTAGCCCTATGCTGGACTCTCTCCAGCAGTTCTCTGTCCTTCTTGAACTGGGTCCTTCCAATGGAGTCCACCCACAAAGAAATACAAGTGCAAAAGGACAAAGAACTAGGGAGAAGAGGGTCTGCTCAGGTGGGAGATGCTCCTCAGCTCTGTCATGCCTGCAAAAATATTCCAGGTGCTCATCATCTTGGGCTGGCCTGGAGGATTTCCAGCAATTAGGCTGAGCATCACCCTACTCATAAGCAATGAGTGAGGTAGCTCTGAGTTGGCAGTGACATAATCATGAGTCTT